TTTATACTTTTTTTTAAAGTAACCCTTCTAACAATAATAGTTTTAGTCAATACACTTGATTAGTAAGGATATTTTATGAAAGACAACACCTATTTAGGACAAATAACTAACTCAACTTGTTTCCTTAATCTCCTCAAATTAGTCAACTGGCTCTTATAATTAGGGTCGGAGGTAGTATTAAAGACCAGAGGAGTATGATAATTGATGTCAACACTTTTGTATCACAGCATTTATAAAAAAGAGAATGACAAAAAAAGAAGTTAAAAATCAGTAAGTCCCAAATTAGATTTGATAATAATATTTTATTTGGTGTTGATAATACTCAATTTGTAATTGATAAAAAAAAATTATTAACATTTTTTTTATATTTATAAACGTTCAGTCTTTTTTAGTCATTTTATTCTTTATAAAATATCTCCAGAAATAATTTTTCAGCGATATAAGCGCGCACAGAAACAAACATTAACTTAAAAATATTTTAAAATGTCTATTTCGCTGAAGTGTCGTGTGTGACTATTAGAAAGGAATGGCACCGCTTGAGAGCGACCGAGATGGAGTTGGCCGCTCATAGAGGTCGCTTTCCAAAAGACGATGATACCCTCGAGTCCCCCGGCTCAGATGCAGCAGAAGAAGGGCATGTTGGGGAAAAGCAGTGGTGCCGTGTGACAAGAAGAACACGCGGGCGTTGTGGACCCACGAGAAGGCATATTTAGGTTCACACTGACATGTTCGCACCTCCGACTTTCCATTTGCGTGCACGACTCTGCGTTTCGCTCACTCCCTTTTAGCAATTACTAAATCAATTCGAACTGGTATAAGTAATTGAAGCACTAAACGGCCCCAAACAAAAAATTGAAGCACTAATTACTTAAATAAATAGTCGAAGGAGGACTTAACTTTAGTCCTAACTTTTATATACTACTTTCGGTCTTAATATAAAAATTTATTTGACTTTTATTTTAGTTCTAAGTATAAAATTTTAATCTATTTTGTCTCTCATATTTATTTATTTATTTTTGAAATGGTTCTTATAATAATAATAGTTCTAACCAATACATTTGATTAATAAAGATGTTTTAAAAAAGATAATATTTATTTATTATAAATAACTAACTTTTTTTAATCCATTTAAATTAGTTAGCTAGTTTTTATATTAAGTATTAGAATAATATTATATGAATCTAATGGATAAGGGTTTTTTTTTTATGGTGGTGGAGAAGGGTTTGTTTTCTTTTCTTTTCGTTTTTTTAATGTCTGTACTCTGTATATCTATTGATTATAAGACATTCACTGCTCTCCATGAAAACCTCACTGTCCTTAAGTAATCTGAAAACATGAGCAAGAATTCATGTTAAAATAATTTTTAACACCTATATAATATTTAATGCTACTCGCTAATACAAATTTAAGCATGATTAAGAATAGTCTAACTAAAAAATTAATTCACAGATCCCTATAATTTCACTTGGCTTTTATTACCTATGTGCTTTTTTTTTTTTTATCACTCAAATGAAATTATAGGAATCTAATTAAAACTCACAGGAAACTATATTAATATGATACAAAGAAAATAAAACTACATACACTTAAATAAAATTAAGTGAGACCATGAGGATGTAATAAAAATAAAAAAATTACATAGACCTTGTTAAAAATCAGGTGAAGACTATATTAATTTTTCTATGGCTTTTTTATGTTCTGTTTTTTCAAAAGAAAATTTGAAACTAATGTTAAGGTTTTTTTTTTTTTCCAATTCGAGTCCATCCGTGTAAAATAATTTTTATATCGTAACATTACCAATTTAAAACCATAATTTAATAAATTAGTCTTTTCATGTTAGAGTTGTTTGGCTCAACTGATGATATCAAACACTTTTTAAAGTCTTAATTTGAATAAAAATTATAAGTCCAACCTTTTGTAAATACTACATCGGTTATTACTATAAAAATTAGTTTGATATTCAGTTTAGTTATAAATATAAAACCATAATCTACTTTATTTGTTATATTTTTTTAAAAGATAGTCTTGTATTAGTTGCGCACGTTGAATGTTCTATCAAATGGTAGTTCTAACCAATACTACCTCCGGTCTTTTAATATAAGACCTAGTTTAACATTCAATTTGTTGTTAATTATAATATCCCAATTCACTTTGCCTATCATATTTATCCATTTTTCCTAAGACAGTACTTGTTGTAGTTACGCGTGTTAAATTTTTCATTAAATGATAGTTCTAACTATTATATATGATTAACAATGGTATTTTAAGCAATATTTATTTATTACAAATAACTAATTTTTTCAATCTACCGAAATTAGTCAATTAGTTTTTATATTAAGAATTGGATGTGATATACATGAGAGTATTCTATAGAAGATAATACATATTTATTATAAATAAAAAGGCATCTTTCTAATTATCTTCATTCTTCACAGTAAATATTGCGTATGTAGTTATGTAGCTTTGGAAAATATAACAAACGAAAGTAGTGCGAAAGAAACAAGCTAAGCATTCCTAATCATTTACGTGACAGATGAAAGCAACAGGAGAATTGAATCATATGTATAAAAAATAGATTGCAGGTATGATGGAAGAAATTATGATGAATGGCTTTTGGACACCTGTGTATTGTAATTATGCTGCTATTCCATATTCCATGTGGTTTTTTGACTTGCAGAATTTGCAACCCGTGATTTCTCCATCATTCATCTGGAACCAATGATGTATTCCCCAATTCAACTTAATTTCAATCATTCTCCCCATCTATTTCTATTACTTTGAAAAATGGTTCCTCTCTTGTTTGATTATGAGAACGATTATTTCTATGGTCAGCTTAATTATATTAAATAGCCCATAGTTTTCTCGTTCATCCTTATTTTATTATTTTTTTATACGGAAAAAATTAAGAACTCAAGATTTGCATGTACAAGTGTCTTGGATCTCTCTCTCAAAATCTCAACGGGATGATTTGTCCCTACCTTTTTTTTGTGTGCCCCCAAATGTTACTTGTAGACACACACACACACACACACACTTCGATGTATGATTTCTTCATCTCAAAATTATAGTTATTCCAATGCTAAAGTACGAGTAGATACATTAAGGTGAGCTTAGATGGAGCGGAGTATAATAAAAAAGCGTTCAGATTTGAGATTATATTGACGTAAGAAAAAATATTAATAAGTAGGCTAATAAATTATAACAAATGAGATGGAAGACGCTGTGTGTATATATAAATATTTTTTTTCTATACACGAATATCTTTTTATTAAAAATAATCTTGTTCGAGGTATCATTTTGATACTGAATGTATATGCTTTGTCTTATTGGTGTTACGTAGATATTTCATATCACCATGTTTTGTGTTTCTAAACTATTGGAATTATAGGATCCTAATTATCAGGCGAGAGCAAATGCATAAACTGGGCTCCAAAAAGAAAGCCTGAAGAAACACCAGAAGTGAGAAAAAAATGCACAAGCACATAATAATTATTGTAAAAACTGATTGAATAAATTTATTTTTCAGTATTTAATCCGTAGATGATATTGATCAATGGTAGTTATATAATCAAACATATAATTTCCTAGAGTTAAATTATATATATTGATTTAAATATATCCTTGTCTTTTATTCAACATATTAATGTATGATGAAATACAAAAAATGTAATGAATTAGAACGTAACTACATTTACATACGTGCTATGGGGCTTGTGACTGTTCATGGACAGAAGTTTGAGATATAAGTAATTTAAGGGGGTGAAAAAAGAATCTAAAAATTACAAGAAAGGAATTTATCAGAGAGAATAATGCCTTTTTGTTTTTCTTGAAGCATCTCTCATGAAAATATTAATTTTTAGGATTCTTTCGTGAGCTTTTTTTCTCATCAGGAATGCCGAAGCATGGAATGCGTAGTGCCCACTCCGAGTACAGCACAAGACATTGGCCCCTCTAACCTTTTACCCCACCAATATTCCCCCCTTCCCCCTTCCTCCCTTTCACACACCTTTTTTCAATTAAAAAAAACTAATGTTATTTATTAATACATTTAAGTGATGTAAGATCGTTAATGATGGTTAATAATTCCTTTTAAAATTACAAATATTAAAAATGATGGTTAATAATGACTTTTATAATTAAAAATGAACTGCATAAACTAAAATTAGAGAGCCAAAAGACAGAAGACAGAGAAAGGATGCATAGGCAATAATATCCATAAACAGAAAATCTGAAAATACCTGCAATTTGTTGAAAGAAAATTTTGTAGGGCCATTAATTTATTAAATTATATTTAATGAATTTCCATATTTTAAGGGTCCACACTCCGCATGCATCAGCACAGCAACAGCCCAGAGGAGATGCGGAAAGGTGTCAACTCTTTTTTTGTTTATACCGCGAAATAGAAATACTATATATAATGGGAAATATATATACACATATATATAATATGAGTAAATTAATGAGGAAAGAACTTTAATCCGACGTGGCACAAATTCGCATGCCGCGCGTCACTTAACTCCGTCACAGTCATCTACCCCACTGGGGAGAACTGCGCTGCGGACACTATGTAACGGGGTTAAGTCCACCGTCCGAAGGCATCCCCCACTTCCTCGTCTTCATCTCTCTTCCCTCTTCTGCAGCAACAAACATCACTTGCCCACACTCTCGCTCTTCATCCCTCCCTCTTCCTCTCTCTAGAATCTCGCTTTACAACTCCAAGGGCGAGCTGGCGGGCTTGATTTCGGGAAAGGTATGGCTTGATCACGTGTGGTTCGATCATAGTGTTTTTGTATACGGAGATTCATATTGCGATGACAATATGTGGGAGATTTTTTTTTTTTTTTTCCTGGATACAACAATATGGGGGATATTATAGAGGGCTTTCTTTGTTTAATAGACTATTATTGTTAGTTTTATGGAAACTTCGGTGGTTTTGACTGAAGTTCCGTTATTTTTGCATTAATTTCGGATCGTTATGACTTTTCAGTGTGGTGATTTTTTTCCTCCTAATTTTGGCCTGTTTGTTGTTCTAGATTTATACTCACTCTCAGTTCATCTATGAGTATCAGATTTCATCATTTTCTCGGCGCTTATCTTCATTTTTCACGGATTTTTTTAGTTGATGCTGTTGAAGTCCTGCGATTTGTTTGTTAGATTATTTGCGGTTGGTGCCATCACTGATTATGAGAGTAGAATAAGATTATGGGGTGTGTTTCTGTTTCTGTAGAAGTCACACTATTGAACTGTTTGTGTTAATTTTGCTGGCGGCCTTCTTTTTGACTTAAGATTGCTGTTGCAATTGTGATTACTTGTATTCATTTTTTTTTTGTTTGCAAGAAAAATTCTTGAAACCTAAAATCATATGGATTTCGATGAATTATCTCTGCAGTAGATTGTCCTCAGTCTCTCCCCATTTTCCATGCTCTTCTGATTTTGAGCTCCTTTTTTGGAGTCTATATCTTGAGATTTTCTTTCTAACTCTTTTGGATGCTGTAATCTGCAATGGCCTCTGAGTTGAGTGAAGTGTATGTCAAAGAAACAACGGATTTCAGTTGTATGATAGAGATGTCAAAATCTTTATGAACTTGTTTATTTTTTCCGAGTGTACTTACAAGTGTTACTTCGTTGATAATCTCAACTGATGATATACCCTTTTCACTAACATTGCAGGCGAACAACTGTATTGACCGGTTAATGGTGCATATTTGTAATTGAAGATGTAATTGATGGTTGTGTTAATATAACGAGCCAGAAACTGTTGTGTATTCAAGGATGGGTGCTTCTTGTTGTGTGGCTGCCAGAGATAAAACCATACAAAGTGGATCAGCTAATGAAATTTTGCATAGGAACATCCGCTACTCTCCAACATGGAGCTTTCGCTGGGATCATCGAGGGCGTGTAGCTGGTGAAGATACTTCTATAAATTGGTTTTCTGATGGTATTAGCCGGAATGAGGGATCAGAAAATAAGAATGAATCAACATATGCATCAGAGGATGGGAGCCCTTCACAGAATTATCAGAGGCATAGATGGCAGAAATCACCAATTTCTGAAGGAACTCCTGGACAGGCGAGGACATCAACTTCAGGTAACTTCCATTGAGCCCGCTCTTTCATATTATTCTATAAACATTTATCATAGATATGAGATCTGTGGACACTATTGAATTTTTTTAACTAAGATACAAATCCTCCATTTTAATTTGCATGGTTTTGTCTGAAGTGATGTTTTACTCTTAAAGATACCTTATTCAAAGCAGATTTTGAAGTTCGTAGTTAGACACAAATCAATGACAAGTGTCTAAGTTTACCATGGTAAGACATCATATGGGCAAGATGATATGAGATCTGTTCTAAGCTTCATTATGTTGGTATTCTGATGCGTCCCCTAGCACTATAGTGGCCCGAGTTTCTTAAATAATCTGAATCTATGTCCAACAATGGAATAAAAAAAAGCTCTGTTTGCTTCATTAATCCATGTTAAACATTGATAATATCGCTGATGGCAGTTGTTAAAGTAATTAAAAAAAAATGCAGACATGTTGGAGCTCTTCCAAACAGTAACTAACTATGGAATAGTCATATTCTTTATTGGAGGTTTAGGAAAAGCTAGATTTTGCTGAAGAATTATTGCTGTGCTGTCTGTCTCATGCGAGACATCTACCCTGCTATAAGTGTCTGTAATCTGATAGTTGTGAATGGTTCACTGTTGAATGCTAAATCTCTTAACTGGCTAATGTATTTTTTTGACATGGTTATTATTTTCACCGCAGAACAATTTGTTTCAAGTAATGCCTCCATGGACGTCAACGTGGATCAGGTGAGCTTACAGTAATGAAGGAACTTCTTGTGTTACACGCTTTTGCTCGCTTGTTGCATGTGATTTGTTTGACAAGGCCTCTATGCATGGATATTTTCAGGTGAGGGGGTTGGCTGAATCACCAATGGTATCATGCCCATCTCCTGCAAAACCATCACTTTCGTTGCCTTCAACTTCACTGTCAGCATCTCCCTTGTCATCTCGAAGTCACCTGCCTCCGTCCACTTCAACCCCTGTAAGGTGGCCATGCCGTTCCCCAGGACACCAGCTACCTTGGCAAGGTTCTGATAGCCAAATGCCAGGGTTTAAGTCACCAAGCAGCTTCTCTATGTCTGAAGAAAGACCAGCATTTCCTTCATGGAGCAATGAATCAGGTAGGTGCTCCCGTGGTGGATCTTCCGATGGTTGGTCTATACCTGGATTTTCTGACCTGATGGGCACTTCCCATAGAGAAAGATGGTCATTTGATAGTGAGTCCTTTGGTTGTAATCGTGAAAGGTTGGTTAGATCCAGTAGCCAGACTGTAACTTCACCTGTTGATTTGCAAGCATGTGGTGTATGCTCAAAGCTTTTATCTGAGAAGTCTTCTTGGAGCACCCAGAAGATAATTGCGAGTAATGACCTTTCAATAGTTGCGGTCCTTATGTGCGGACATGTTTATCATGCTGAATGTTTGGAAAGTATGACACCCGAGATTAACAAGTATGACCCGGCTTGCCCAATTTGCACTTTTGGTGAGCATCAAACTCTTAAGCTGTCAGAAAAAGCTTTGAAAGCTGAAATGGATTTGAAGGCTAGAAACAAGAAATCAAGGAGCCGGGTTGTTGATAGGGATGTTGACGATGATTCTGTTGTGTTCGATCATTTTAGAGGGAGAGGGTGCCAGGGTAAAGGTCCCGGGATGGAATCCAGTTCCAGTGGGAGAAGCTCTTTTGGGAAGCCCTTTTTAAGGCGACACTTTTCATTTGGCTCGAAGGGTTCTTCCAGAACCTTGTTAGATAATCATCCTACAAGAAAGAAAGGCTTCTTTTGGGCAAGATCTAGCAAGGAATAAGCTGTTTGTTGGCTGTTAAGATGTAAGTTGCTCTGTCTCTCTATTTTGTCTGTTATCTTACGCCATATTAGCATAAGGAAATGATGTTTTTCTATTTTACCTTTTGTAGTCAGGGATTGCTTTGCCTCCAGATGTAATTTGATCTGTGTTCCCAGGCAGCAGAAATTCAAATTGAAACCTTAATGTGCCTCATCATGTAGTCTAAATAGTAAAGAGTTTCGCGTGCTATGCATAAGCAATTTTCTGACTTGTATGCGTTATCCTCCTTGTAACCAGATTCCACCCGTCGATCTTCTCTGCAACCTCAGGATTGTGAAAGGGCAAGATGTAATTCATCAATCTCTGATTTTTGAGCATCTTCATATACCGATCTATGATTTCAACTGGAGTGGCTGAAGTTAATTTGTAAAGAAGAAATGTGGAAAGCATACAGAAGGATTCGATGAATATAATGAAGTTAGTGTTTTGGGATCAGGGGTCTTTTTTTCATTGTGTACAGATTAATTTGTTTATTGCATGGATATAATGCATATATCCAGATGATATTTTGTTGTCTATGGGTCTTCTGAATGCTGAAACTGTATGCCATTTGCCTTTTGGGAGTTGCTGGGCAGTGTTAGGCAATACCAATTATTTTGATTGACTTAAAAGTTGGGTGCTTAGTGAAAGAACAGTTTCAGGGTACACTTACACACAATTAGGGCTTTTATTGTTAACAGAATAAGAGTATATTCAGATTACATTGGAAAAGCACTTTCAACAAAAGTTACTAATTTTCCCTTATCAAAAAATCTGTTTTTACTTCCGTGGCGGATGTGGAAAGCTAAATACAAATTTGGTATTTAAACATGTACCGATCCTTTTATGCTAATATTATCACTATTTTGATGTAAATTGTGATTTCATACAAGGAAAAGTCAACTGTTTTGCTCATATAGTTTGACTCAGTGTAAGTTAGTTTTTAAATTTTATCTTGGCGTAATGCAGTTCTTATATATTTAATTCAATTATAATTTTGTTTTTGAATTTTTATTTTATGTAATTTAGTTCTTATAAATCGTTACGATCAAGTCAACACTATGGAGATTATAAAGATTAAGTTGTTTTCAACACTATAAAGGTTAAGTTGTATCGAATGAAAATATTAAAATTGAGTCATAATGAAATTAAAACTATAAGAAACTGAGAGATTAATTTTTTTTAAAAAATTATATAGAACTTTTTATTTTTCATGTTATATTTTTTATCAAATCTAAAATATTCTCGTCACTTAGTACGTAACTAAACTCAATTATTAACCTCGACTTTAAAGTTCAATCAAATAAAGTATTTTTGGGTCCGAAACATCAAAGTGGTTATAACTCGATCCAGTTATCATATTCATAGCCATGAACAATAAGGGTCATTTCTTGAACTCAGGAGGTGCTTGTTTCAACTCCTCACAATCACTTCTACATCCAAACAGAATTCTGATCACATTCGGGGATCATAAAATTACTTTAAAAGTCTAATCCAAACATCCTGATGGACTCGGTACGCATGAAAATTTGCGCTTGGCTTCCCGTGGAGGCGTCGACCCCATAAAATTTGGTGGATAAACCAGCCACTGATGCATAGTAAAGTGACACGTGTCCTCGAGTCTCTTACGTGGCAACATGTGTCTATATCTTCTCTCGTTCCTTCCCCACGTGTACTTCCCAGGTCTGCATGCAAAATCAATCTTCACCGCCATTGATTTTCCTAATTTAGGGAGTGTTTGGATAAGATCAAAACCATGGTTTCAGAAGTGCTTTTACGGTATACGAAACAAATATGTGGAGGAGACTGTCTCAATTTGTGAAAAAGTGCTTCTGAAAAGTGATTTTAAAGGCATCCAAACACCCCTTTAAAAGCAGATCACCTCCCCCGGGGTTGAGACCAGAGTGCTTTTCTCCTACTTGCGAAGCCCCAACATTGGTACGAACGATCGAAATGGCCGAAGCCCAACTACGAGACGAACGTGGTAATCCTATCCAACTCACCGATCAGTACGGTAACCCCGTCAAGTTGACCGACGAGCACGGCAATCCCGTCCACCTCACCGGTGTTGCCACCACCGTTCCTGCCGCCGGATCCCACTACGGCTCTCAAGCCACCGGCACCGCAGGAACCCACAGCACCGGTTTTGGGGCACACGGTGTTGTAACGGGAACGAATACCAGTGGATTTGGCACGTACGGCACAGGGACATACGGTGGGGGAGCAACCCGCGGAACAGGTATCGGTGGCGGTACGACGGTGGGGGATTTGATGAGTGATCACACAAAAAATCATCACACCGGAGAAATTCGTCGCTCCAACAGCTCAAGCTCTAGCTCGGTATGGATATATGTGATTCACTTTAAGCTATCATCCTGAGTTCCTGATCTATATGTATATACACACGCTTTGAACGGCACTCCTTGAATAGGTTTTGGATAAATTACGTTTGCATTAACTTTTACGTTATATATATATTTGGTGTGCGTGTGTTGTGGATGTAATGAGGACTGAAATAGTAGTATTGTTGAAATGAACAGTCAGAGGATGATGGGGAAGGCGGGAGGAGGAAGAAGAAGGGATGGAAGGAGAAAATAAAGGAGAAGCTGCCGGCAGGAGCAGCAGGAGGCACAGAAAGAGAAGAAGGTTTGAATTATCCTCAGAATCACTCGCACGTGAAGACGACAACTACAAGTACTTATACGACAACCATGGCTACTGGTCATGGCCAACTTCCAACTCCGACGACGACCACCGCTAGTGCTGGCGGAAAACACCACGACCCTGCTGGGCATGACCACCATGAGAAGAAGAGCATTATGGAGAAGATCAAAGAGAAGTTGCCTGGCGCTCATCACTGAACCACCCCTTCCTTCTGCTACCTGCTCTTTAGTAACTTTTTCTGCATTGTAATTTCAATTGTGCATGTTTCCTTCCACTCGTTTTTTTATTATGTTAGTTCAGATCAGATTTATGTGTTTCATAAATGGCTACCTATAACTTAAATGTTGTGTGAGCACATAAATGTGTGTGTGTGTCCCCCTCTATCATGTTGCTTTAATGAAAAGGGTATATTTCAATGGTAAGTCTTGTTCATCGAGATTCTTTTAAATTCCATTGAGGAGGGAAAAAATGGAGACCCTGGTTTCTCACCATTATATTTGTAAGTTGAGTAGTGAATCCCTACATAAAAACATCACAGTTTTTAACGAATAATTTTCATAAAAAAACGTTGTTAATATAGCGTTGATCTTTTTTATCTCTCTGACTTCAGATCATTCGATTAACTTAATGTATTTTAAATTAGAGAAAATGACAAATAAAGACTCCTGAATTATCAAAATTATAAGGAGGTCAACTGAATAAGCTAAATTACTATGAGGGATCCGTCTCATATTGCAAACATGAAATCTTAGTGAAATGTCTGAAATGTCTTTTAGTTAAGTTGTGATCTGAAATGTCTCTTAGTTAAGTTGTGATCTGATCTATTGAAATTGTCATACGTTAAAGTGAATTTGTTATTTCCCATAATCAACTTGTTATTTGGTATAACCTCAGTCAAGTTGTGATTTGGTTTACTGAAATTGTCATTCGTTAAAGTGAACTTGTCATTTTTTATAGTTAATTTGTCATTTGGCTGAGGGCATTTCAGACATTTTATCAAGATTTCATATTTGCAATGTGGGATTAGTCCCTCATGATAATTTGACTTATTTAGGTGACCTCCTTGTAATTTTGATAATTCAGGAGCCTTTATTTGTCTTTTTTTCTTTTTAAAAAAAATTATGAACTATAATTTCTCAAAGAAATTTGAAATACTAATGTCTTTATTTGTGTTTTCAATCAATGATTAACTTCAAAAATGAGAACATAATTTCACAGAAAATTATAATATAAATATAAATGATGTATTGGGAGAAAAATAAGGAAAAGAATAATTAAAAATTCTTGGCCAATATTACATATATTTGTGTATAAAACAAATAAAAAAATATGCTGGTTCTTAGTATAAGATCTAATTGACTAATTTGAGGAGATTAAGAAAATTAGTTCACTTACTTATTTATAAGAAGCAAGTGTTTTTTTAATAATATTTTTGCTAATCATGCATATTACCTAAATACATAGCTAAAATAACAATTTGATGGAACATTTAACCTATGCAACTACTACAAGAATTATTTAAAAAAAAAAGATAAATATAAAAGATAAATTGGATTGATATCTTATATTTAGGACTAAATTAAAAATTAAACTAACTCTCATACTATTTCTGATCTTAGAGATAGTTGACTAATTTAAATAGATTAAGGAAACTGGTTAAATTAGTTATTTGTAATAAATATGTGTTATCTTTCCTAAAATATCTTTATTAATCAAGAGTATTGGCTAGAACTACTATCATTATAAGAACTACCTTAAAATAAAATAGATAAATATAAAAAATAAAATGAATTATAATCTTAATTATATTTACAACATGAGCTCTTATAGAGACACAGGCAGGAACCATCGGAGTTACATTAAAAAACTGAACAGTGGCTTTAGGCATGAGCGCGGGACCGAAACCTAGCTGGCTAGTTGAAGCATAATGTTTGGTCAACTGGATCGCTCACTTTAGCGCCAGTTTCCGCTCGGCATCACCTCGCTTCTCGTTTCACTTGCTTTACCCCTCCGTCCTTACCTTCGTTGCCTCTCTCGTCTCTGTTCTGCTTCAATGTTTTCCCAGTCCCACCTTCTTTGTCTGAACCCTACATTTTCATTCTCTTCTTCTTTTTCTTCAAATCGCACCTCCTTTCCTTCTGTTCGACTCGGATTTCCTTCCACCAGAGTAATGGCCTCCGGCTCCAAGGTCAGCAACGGCGGCCACTCCTCCCCCTTTGCGATAAATGAGTCCGATATCAATCGATTGGCTGAGGTTGGTAACAAGGTCGCTGATGCCGCCGGTCAAGTTATTCGGAAGTATTTCAGACAGAAATTCGATATTATTGATAAAGATGATTCCAGTAAGTTGTAAGTAAGGATTTGTGGATTTCATTTCCTTCTGTTTGGAATGGAGTTATATATGGTCCATCTGTTTTCCTTGCCGAACCAGTAAAATGTTGAAAGGCTTCGAGTACTTTCAAATTTTGAGAGTCTCGAAGTTTTAATTGATTTTCAAGAGAAATTAAAATAATTTTCAATCTTATTTTTGGATGATGTTGTCTCATTTTACTTGATATTTGCAGGTCCCGTGACAATCGCTGATAAATCTGCTGAGGAGGCTATGGTTTCCATCATTCTTGAGCATTTTCCTTCTCATGCAATGTAACGTTTAGTATATCTTTGCCCTTCCTTTTTCTTAGTGCCTATATGCGTACGCCAGCATGACTGAAAGCGCGAGTTACTCTTATCGCTTAATGAATTGTAGAAGTACTTACTGCATTCTCATATGATAAGAGTAATAACTGGAATCCTATGATGAGTGTGGTTGTGCCTGTTTAAATGATTTGACTAAGATTCGCTTGCAACTTGACGAAATAACACGTAGCTATCGATGAGATGGTAGATTCTGTAATTAAAGTACTAAAGCGCCTGAAATTTTTCACAAAAGTGCAGTTATGGGGAGGAAAAAGGGTGGAGGTGTAAAGAAAGTAGTGCAGACTATGTTTGGGTTTTGGATCCTATTGATGGGACAAAAAGTTTTATCACCGGTAATTTTCTTTAGTGATGACTAAATTCTTATTTTTGTCATGGAGTTCTAAAATTTCATCATGTAATCTTAGTTTGCATGCGTTTCAGGGAAACCCTTATTTGGTACCCTCATTGCCCTTCTACTAAATGGTAAACCTGTAAGGATCTCTTGTACTTCGTTGCTTTCGTCTAATTAGAAGAGTTGCCTTTTTTTTTTTGGCCCATTGTAGAGTTTTACAGCACATTTCTTGATATTTTCTTTCTAATAAATGAAGACAAATAAGATATTTCACCATCTTCATTGTCATTTCTTTGTCATTGTAAATTTATCTGCGCTTTTCTCTGGATTCATTATGATGTGGAAATGAAGGAAAGGATAATGAAGGTGAATGTCTTATTAAAAGTCGATATAAGCATCATCACAAATTTTTGTATTTATAGATATATATTTGTATATTTTGGCATAATTTAGAGTTATTTGACCTGTAAACTTTCCGTTAAGTGCGGTTTACTTTCATCAGATCCTTGGCATAATTGATCAGCCTGTATTAAGAGAAAGATGGATTGGGATATCTGGAAAGAAAACTAGGCTGAATGGACAGGAAGTCTCCTCACGCAGTTGCACAAATCTTTCTCATGCGTACTTGTATGCTTTCTTCTTCTCTTTAGTGAACTTTATTAATGACTGTTCTTGATTAAGAGGGATTCTTGAAACAAAAGAATCGTCACTCATCTTTTATCCGTAGTTTTTTCACATGATATGTGTAGGATTACAAGTCTTAACTGATAGCAGAAATTTTCCCTATTTAGGTACACCACAAGTCCACATCTATTCAGTGGAGATGCAGAAGACGCATTTGTCCGCGTTAGAAACAAGGTGGCACATGGCATTGTTGCTTCATCTTAAAAATGTTTGGGAAAATGATATTTTACAATGAAATATTTACTCACAATCCAGTTTGAGACATGATTTTTTCCCTCAGTAAAATTGATTCGGTAATTTCTACTGAAGCAGTTATCATTATTTTATATGACACCATAATCTACTTGCTTTTTCGTTTTATCATATCTTATTGCTCCATCTCTTGCACAAGTAATTTCTATGACCTATGCATATTATCTATGGCACCCTTTGAGGAGTGAATTTTCTTGAGCGAAAATTGTGACTGAATCCAACTGCGATGGTACAATTCAAATTTCTATTTTACGATGTCTTCCGTTGACATTCAGTTATTTTTCTTTTTTGGTTTTCTGATGATTTACAGGTTAAAGTTCCATTATATGGTTGCGACTGCTATGCATATGCACTTCTGGCTTCTGGCTTTGTAGATCTCGTTGTTGAGTCTGGTCTGAAGGTTAGCCAAACTGCATCATCTCCTTTGGTTGCATTTTTGACTTTTGAGTCTCTTTGACTTTTGAGCCAGTCATGCATACTGAAGCTCGATATATATATTTTTTTGGATAAGCAAGGTCAATCTTAACTTTATTAAATTGTGTTGCAGCCCTATGATTTTCTTGCTTTGATCCCCGTTATAGAAGGCGCTGGGGGTGTCATAACTGACTGGAAAGGCGATGAACTCTATTGGGAAGCTTCTCCAACTTCACCTGCAAGAAGTACGTGCTCATTGAATATTTGCGCCTTTGGAACTCTTCCCATTTTTTAATTTGATCCGTTATTGCTTAATTTTATCCTTGCCACCAAATGAATGAGCTGAGAAAGTCAGGCTAGTTCCATCGTCTTATTTAATTTGATTAAGCTTCCATTCTCACTTATGAGAGTTGGATGTGCCAGGTTTTAATGTTCTGGCAGCTGGAGACAAACAGATTCATCGACAAGCTCTAGATTCATTACAGCGGAGTTGACATCATCTGATGCCGTTCAAATACCAGAGACCGCGGATTGAATTTGAATGAGACTATGATATTGGACCTCTCAAGGGAAGATCATCCGGAAGAACTAGCGTCCGTTCCTAGATGTTATAGGTGTGCATGGCGGAACAATTGATCGGTATTTATTTAATAAACTGAAGAAATATTCATGCAGTTTAGCTGTAGTTTTGTTTCTGCCCAGCTAGGAACAAGTTAACTATCAACAATAATGAACAAAAGAACAAGGAACTTCTTCCTTTACTTGAAATTAAAAGAGAATGTAAATATCATGAAACACAAGGTTCTACAATCTACAACAAACCGAGAGCAGAATGCATGGCTGAAGAGAATTGGATGGGGCTGAGGTAGCTTCATCCGATTGAGGCAGGAAGAGGCCCGACAATAATAACATTCCTGCCCTGCTACACAAGTGTTTGGATGATGAAAGATGCATAACAAAGCTTTCAGTCCTTCCCGAAATCAGCATTATAGTGGGCACTAGATTCTAGTTTCTTGGCTTCATTTAATTTGCGCACAGCCTGAAATAAAGACAAAAACAAGGTTAAGATGAGAAGTGCTCAAAACAGTGGGGGAAACTTCAGTAACTAAGAACAAGACATACATGGGTAGAACATAGGTCTAGAACATAGGTCTTCAAACCCAAACTGATCATATTTGTACTGATAAACAAAAATAGTTGACCTCCTTAGATTTAAACCACAGATTATTTGGAATAAGACGAAATGGAGTTCAATCATTAGAATATGGATAGAACGGCTCATCTTTGGAAATTTCAATTGTAAAGTCGGAAGCAAATTTTAAACTCTTTGGTAGGAAGTGTGGGCATTCAGTTACAACTCTGGTGTCCACAATGAAAAGTCGCCCATGAAAACGCCAGCTAAGATTATTTCAAGTGAGATTTGCTATGCAAGAGGGCAGTGTTGATTTTCTGATCAGACATGCCTCGATGTGAACGACAAACAGTGGATGGTATATTTTACAATTTACCTAATGAACAGCCACTAAGCCAACCAATTTAACTTTATCACTCCATTCACGACAACAACATTACGCATCTAACTAGACCTTTTGAAATGGGAAAGTCTTTTACCTTCATGAAATCTTCATGAATTACATAATCACGTTCTGCACGGATAGCAGACATCCCAGCTTCAGTGCAAACATTACGAAGATCCGCACCATTGAACCCCTGAAGTCAATAAAATACATGAAATGATTAGGCAAGGGATTTTAGAAGTCGTGAAGATAGGACATGGACAGGGACACTGAAGAAATACCTCAGCAAGCTTAACAACTGCCTCGTAATCAATTTCCCCGTGTTTTGCAATTCCGGCAGCATGAATTTTGAGGATTTCCATCCTTGATTGCTCATTTGGCAATGGGATTTCAATTTTACGATCAAGTCGGCCAGGTCGAAGCAGTGCTGGGTCAAGCACATCGGGTCTATTTGTAGCCATAATCATCTTAACCTACATTTTTAGCCCGTGTCATCCCAATATATATAAACAATATGGTCAGACTTGTTTCACCGATTGCATATTTTCAAAAAATTATGAACTAATACGAGCAGATAATTACCTTTCCAAGCTGATCAAACCCATCAAGCTGGTTAAGCAACTCCATGAGTGTTCTCTGAATTTCCCGGTCAGCACTTGTTCCCTCACTGAAACGGCGCCCACCAATGGCATCAATCTCATCCATAAATATGATGCAAGGCTACACGAAAAGAGGGTATTAGCTAAAGTCAATTTAATAGAGGCATCTAAGGAAGCATGTTTACTTCAATGGAAGTTTTTACCTGATGATCACGTGCGTATCCAAATATTTCCCTAATCAATCTTGCACTTTCTCCAATATATTTATCAATGATAGCACTAGATACAATCTGGACAGCAATAAATTTTCAATTGACAGTACAAGCCACGTATCAAGCATTTATATACACAGCAAAGAGTGAAGTGAAACCTTCAAAAAGTTAGCATCTATATTGCTTGCTATTGCTCTAGCTAACAATGTCTTTCCAGTTCCGGGAGGTCCGTAAAGAAGAACACCCTGTAAAAAGAAAAACAAGATTCATTAGTTGTTATTCTTCAATAATGTGCTAAGCCATTCAACTTTTTCCAGCATGACCATACCTTGGGTGGTTTGATGCCAACCCTTAGAAACAGCTCAGGATTCATTAAAGGCAGTTCTATTGATTCCCTAAGCTCTCGAATCTGATCTGAAAGCCCTCCAACTGCAGAGTAACTAACATTGCCAGGGTCTTCATGAAGCATATTATATACCACTGGATCAACCTATCATGTATGAAAAAAGAAAAATGTAAACAAGCCAAGAATTTAGGAATGTACGCAGGATGGTAACAAACAGTCCAATAGTAGATGATGAAATACTTCACGGGGTAGAGCCCTCATGATGGTCAGAGTAGTCATATCAAGCACAACTCGAGTGCCTGCAGTTAGCTTATCCTTGTCAACCTTACTGCGGCAGCCAACCACATATCTAGGCCCACTGCTTGCTTTAACGATCACTGAACAATTCAGATTATAAGCATTACTACTTTATGACTGTTAAACCATTCCTCCCTTGTCCATAATTTAGACTTGAGAGAACAACAGACAATATAGATTTTATGGGAGGAAAAAAATCATCAGGAGAGACTCTGAATCTGACAGAATGATTGAGTTCCCTATCCAGCAAAAATAATGCCTACACAGCTACATATAATGTTGGATTCAGAACTACCCAAAACTTGGGAGTTGATAGAGATAGGTGCAGAACAAATTATAATTACAGCGTTCATTGTCAAGAGGCCTCAGAACTTCGCCTATGATCTGGCCAACACTCTGCAGGGACTTCAGATCATCTTCCGTTTTAGAGAAATCCGTCTTCGCTGTCCGCAAATTCTCTCTAACTGAGTACAGTTGAAATCGAAAATCAAATTAGTAAAACGAAACGTTAACAAACTATCACTCAAGAAACTAGTGCAAATTTAGCCAAATAGCACTTAAGGTTTTTCAGTTGAAGTCCTGTCCTACACCTAGCCCCTAGCTTCCGTGGGTGATCATGATATATGCGTTAATACTTAATAGTTGAAATGGAATTCTCGTAACAGAAGTTTCGATGCCACCGAAGTCAGAAAAAGGAAACAAGAAATCAATGAAAAGAAAAAAGGAGTTAAACCAATTGTCAGAGAAGCAAGCAGAACCTATTTCAATTCAAGTGACAAAGCGTTTAGATTGCATTACTCTCAATGTGGAACTGATTTGGTAGTCCAGAGAGAAAAAATCAAGTGGAAGGTGAAAGAAAGAGAGAAGGTGTTAGGGTTTGATGGTGGACCTGCACGAACTCTGGAATCGAGTTCCTTATGCTGGAGGAGCTTCCTACGATACTCAGTTACCGCTACGCGACGTCGTACAGTTTCTTCCGCCTCACTAGCCATTTCTGAAATTGAGCTTCGCCGGAGAAGAAGGCTATTGTGTCAGCTTCGGAGTGGAAAAAGAATCAGGTTGGCGGGTGGGAGTTGCCGCTCGAACAAGAAAACTACAGGGAAGGAAACAAAATCAAAATAATATAATATACTCTTTAAAAGCCGTGGGTAATATCTTACCGCTCGGTGGTAAATGTAAACGTCACCGAACGATGTGATTTATATTATAAAATAGATTTTATACTTAGAATGGAAGAAATATTTTTATGTTTTTGAAACAAAAATGTAGTGCTGCTATTAAATTTTCCTTGACAAGGGCCGATACGGGACAACATCGGCGGATCTGGGTTGTGACTTTGCCAAAAAAGTTAGGTCCATTTAGTACAAAGTATTAAAAAAAAGAGATAAGAACTAAAATTATAATTAAAAAAAGTATTTAGAATAAGTAATTATTTATTCTATGAGATTAGATAAATTCATAAAAATAGGATTAGGGAATACCACTTCTCTTTATAGTATTCCTCAATTCCAGATATATGAATTTGTCTGATGCTGTGTAACAAATAATCTCTTGTGTTAAATAATATTTTTTCAATCTCAATCCCTTATCTTTATCTTTAATGTTTTGCACCAAATGGTACCTTAATATCTCCGCAGGTACCACTGCGAAGCTCATTAAAGAGGTTTGTTATTGTTATTTTGATGGAAAACGGTTGAAGAAGGTTAATATATGCAGAGTTTATAGAGCCCTTCATATTATCAACCAAAATCTCCCTCTGTTCAATTTAGTTGAAGATATCAAGTGACTTCTGATGCATATTTTTAGAAAAATTAAGAATTGCATGAAATGGCTTCCTCATTTTACTCAAAACCAAATATTTTCCCCCCCCAAAGTATAGGTATCCTCCTATTGAAGGATACTAATATATTTCTCAACAAGAATTTGAATCTTGATTCGTCATGTTGTAAGAGATTAACTCTTTTTGCTATATTCTAAATTCAAAACTACATCTAAAATTGCAGAAGATAGCTTCATCTTGATGCATATTTTGGTCACATTGTCGCTGACATTCGGCCTTTTTTGGGCTTTGGCATTTCTTTTGTATCGAAAAAGCCTTTTCTTGGGTGTGCGCTTACATTTTCTATAGAAGAAATAAAATTAAGATTTTACGTTTGCAACAAACTTTTAATGAAAGTTCGTGTCACAAGTTACAGCCTAATTTTTGGAGGTGAATCAATCATTTGAAAAACAACTAATACTTTTTGTAATCCTAATTTTTCACTGTATTTTTTTAATAAAATACTAATTAAAAAAGTTAAGCACCAAGAAGGAGGTAGAGTGATGTTAAGGAAAGGATCGAATTAAATCATCCAAATATTTATTGTTGGGAGGGGATGGAATTAAGATGCAATTTTGTACTCAACTTCTAGTAAACCAAAATAAATAAAGCATATGACAAGGGCTTGACAGTAAATACACTGAACGGGGAATAACCGAACCTCTGTTTTTACTAGACTCGACTAAGGACCAATGTCACAGGGGACTGAAATGTTAGCTTTGAATAATACATCACTCAAATAAATTAAGCTTCCCGAATCAATAAGACGGTAATAATAGATTAAAAAACGCAGATTCATTCCTCAATCCATTTATATAATATATCTTCTCTAAATCCCTCAAGTTTTTATTGACTTGGGTTTGAGGCGATAATAAATTTATTTATGAAAAGGCACATATGAGACGCCTCTGGAAGAATGTCACTCAAATTGTGTCAGGACAAAATTAACAGGAGCTATCTAAATGAGCTTTCAAGGGAATCCTATCATCCAATGGGAGCTAAGTCACAGCATTGAGCACTTAACATTAAGAGAGCCATGAGAATGCTCAGAAACTCTATGAAGCAAACATTTCGCGGGCTTATTGTTGAGAAACCATCACATATTCATCAAAATAACGTATCAGAAAAGTTCATACCAGATATGTTCAGATTTAGTAAGTTTTCAATGTCTCAATGTCATTTAAATCTACCAGTTAAACAAAAAATTCGCTACTGCCTTGCCTTGGAGGAGAAGGCAGGTGTTCAATTAGTTTATTAATGAAATTGGTTTTACTAAATTTGACTAAATCTCTCCTCGGTAAATTCTAAAAGAGGGCAAGAGAATTTACCTAAATTTACAGAACCACCTAAGATCTCGATTCTTGCGAAATTCTTTGCCTAAAAATTGGGAAACCAAATTCCTGTCATAGTTGTCATCATTTTCCTCCACTCCCAATCAAAATCTTGAAATAAGGCAAAACAACATGTTACTGCTGAAGACACCAATTAAAAGATGGCATCCCTTTTTTACGAGGTTTCTCGTTCCGTCTGATTCTTGTAGAATCCTCGTCCTCCTTGCCGGGAGGATATGGAGAAGATAGAAAGAAAAACCATAAATTAACTGTAAATTCTTCTATCCTCCTTGCCATCGATGTCTCCTTCAATGGCTGTCCTCCTGGTCATTATCTTTTTGTCCTTCTCTTCCACTGCCTTCTCACAATCCCCATCTGACACCTTCACTCCCAAAGACAACTTCCTCGTTGATTGTGGTTCAGATAATACAACTGAGGTCCCAGATGGAAGACAATTCCAATCAGAATCACAAACCAGTTCATTGTTACAAGCCAAAGACGGTTATAAAGTCTCAGCCAATGACGCCAATGTCTCCTCTCCTATTTACTCAAGCGCGAGGATTTTCAAAGATGAAGCTAAATACTCCTTCAATTTGACTCAGCCAGGCTTCCATTGGGTTCGCCTACATTTCTACCCTATAAAAAACAATGTCTTCGATCTTCAGCAAGCTTCATTCTCTGTAAATGCAAACAAATATGTTCTGCTTCATAGCTTCAATGTGGACAATAACAGCAACCCTATCCTCAAGGAATACCTCATAAACGCAACTGAAGCTCAATTCACCATTTCGTTTCTTCCCTTGAAGAATTCTGCTGCTTTTATCAATGCCATTGAAATCGTTTCAGCTCCGAACATCTTGATCGCCGACAAAGGCGCTGCCCTGTTCCCCGTCGGCGACTTCAACGGCCTGACCTCTTACGCTTTCCAACCAGTGTACCGACTGAACAACGGCGGACCTTTGATCACTTCTACGAACGACACGCTCGGGAGGGTTTGGGTCTCCGATCAGCCTTTCCTCACCAACAGCAACATGGCGAAGAGCGTCTCTGTAGCTACAGATGCCATCAAATTCCCCAATAGCCCATCAATTTCTCCTGTAATCGCACCGCAAACCGTATACGCTTCCGCCACCGCAATGGCCGATAATTTGACCAACACAAATTACAACCTCACATGGAAATTCGACGTGGACAATTCATTCAGCTACCTCGTCAGACTGCATTTCTGCGACATTGTCTCGAAGAGCCTGAACGATCTCTACTTCAACGTGTATGTGAATCAGAAAATGGCGGTCTCTAATTTGGATTTGTCGGCTATTAACGGAGCTCTGGCAGTACCGTATTTCAAAGACATTGTAGTGGACGTGTCATTGATGACAGGAGGATTAACTGTTCAGATTGGACCGGCAAATTCGGCAAATGCAATAATGAACGGAATTGAGGTGATGAAGATGAGCAATCCAGTGAATAGCTTGGATGGGGAATTTGGAGTTGACGGAAAGGAAGGCGACGGATCAAACCGTACGGCAGTGGCGGCGGTCGGGTTCGCCATGATGTTTGGAGCATTTGTAGGTCTGGGTGCTATGGTCATCAAGTGGCACAAGAGGCCTCAAGACTGGGACAGAAGGAATAGCTTCTCTTCATGGTTACTTCCTCTCCATGCAGGTACGCGTCTTCGTCAACCAAACCGTGATTATATGAATCAATTTATTTTTTTTTCTATGGGATCTAGAGGCTAAACAAGAGACATAATCACCTTATGGATTAGGACAATTTGCATGGTTAGTCAAATTTATCCCAATTTATGCGGTCATTTTTTTAAAAAAATTAAAATAAAAAATAAGGTAAATAATGAAACAACAAAATATTCAGATTGGTTGGGGGGGATATCAATTACATAAAATTAGGAAAATTTTTCCTCTATAATATTTTTAAAAAAAAAGTCTTCAAAATGATAAAATTCCAGCCTCATCTTGGTTAGCAAAGAAAATACTGCACGCCATTAATTTTTTATTGGGTTAATTAATCCTCAAGTCCTTATAGTTTCAACCAATTTTGAATGAGGTCCTTATAATTTTTTTTCTTTTTATCAAGTCCTTATACTTTCATTTGTTTTTAATTAAGTCCTCGTATTTATTTTTCTTTTTATTAAGTCCTTATAATTTCACTAAATTTTTAATCAGGTTCATCTAGTTTTAATTTTTATTTATTAATTAAATATAAAATTAATTAAATTAATTAATACTGAAACATAAAATATTAATAATTAAATTAAATTAATAACTATATAATAAAAGATAAGGAATATAATTAATTAATTCAGGAAAAAAAGTTAGAACAATTATTTTTTTTTGAAAAAAATTATTATAATAATTTATTATTTTTAAAATATTATTCTTTATAACTAATATTAAATAATAAATACTATTTTATATTTATAGAATAGTAATATTAGAATTTATAAAATAAAGAATAAAAAATTTAGGGACTTAATTAAAAATAAGGTGAATTTATAAGGACTTGATAAAAAGAAAAATAAATGCAAGGACTTAATTAAAAATAGATAAAAGTATAAGGACCTGATAAAAAGAAAAAAAATTATAGAGACCTTATTTAAAATTAGTTGAAACTATAAAGACTTTTAGATTAATTATCCCATTTTTGTTCTCGATTACTGCTTCTGTCCACATTTATGGATTTATTAACGGGGGGAAAAACTGAACAGGTGATGGAAGCTTTATGGGAGGCAGCAAGACCTCAGGTTCCCACTTGAGCACATCAGCAGGGTTAGGCAGATATTTCTCTTTGGCAGAATTACAAGAAGCAACTAAGAACTGGGATCCTAAAACCATCATCGGTGTCGGTGGATTCGGTAACGTTTTTCTTTGTGTGATTGATGATGGAACTCAGGTTGCTGTTAAAAGAGGAAACTCAGATTCCGAGCAAGGAATCACCGAATTCCAGACAGAAATTCAAATGTTGTCCAAGCTCAGACACAGACACCTCGTATCCTTAATTGGCTATTGCGACGAAAATGAAGAAATGATATTGGTTTATGAGTACATGTCGAATGGACCCTTGAGGAACCATTTGTACGGCAAGAATTTGCCCCCTCTTTCGTGGAAACAAAGGTTGGAAATCTGTATCGGAGCAGCCCGTGGACTTCATTATCTTCACACGGGTACTGCACAAGGCATCATCCACCGTGATGTCAAAACCACCAACATTCTTTTGGATGATAGCTTCACAGCTAAAGTAGCTGACTTTGGGCTTTCCAAGGATGGGCCAATGGGCCAAGGACACGTCAGCACAGCAGTGAAGGGTAGTTTCGGGTATTTAGACCCAGAGTACTTCAGATTGCAGCAATTAACAGATAAATCTGATGTGTACTCGTTTGGGGTAGTGCTATTAGAGGCGCTTTGTGCAAGGGCCCCCCTTAACCCTCAATTGCCCAGAGAACAAGTGAATTTGGCTGATTGGGCATTACAGTGCAAGAGAAAGGGCTCGATTGAGAAGGTTATGGACCCTTTACTAGTAGGAGCATGTGACCCAGAATCAGTAAACAAGTTTGCTGAGGCTGCTGAGAAGTGTTTGGCTGATAGTGGGGCAGATAGGCCTTCCATGGGAGATGTGTTGTGGAATTTGGAGTATGCTTTGCAACTTCAAGAGGCTTTCTTGCAGGCAAAAGATGACAATGAGAGTGACACAAAATACCCTCATGATCTCCCAATTTCTCCTCAAGAAGCAAATAATAATAATAATGATGGTGATGACGCAAAAGAGAAGCAAGATGTTAGTATTGAAATACACTCTGAAACTACCATGTTTGATCAGTTGTCTAATGTTACTGCTAGGTGAGATTGAGAATCGCAGTTGTCTTAACACCTAGGCTGCTTCAAATTTGAACATATTAAGTTGTCTCGAAATATTGGTAATATGAAGACAGATATTAGATGTATCTGGTATGTGATATAGTATCTTGTAAAATTCCTAAGTTTAAGTAGGTTTTGCTCATGATCTATCTCTTTTTTACCTGATTAATCAACAAAGCAAAAAGCGCACGTCAGTTTGTTAACTACTTGGGTCCTTTTAACTTTTTTCATCGATTCTCTCTCTTGTGGGTATGTATGTATAATTTCTAAACTATTAACAAGGGTCTGATTTCGTCAAAGAGGATGCCATTGTAGCGTAACTAGCGATCAAGGGTAACTTTACAGGCAAGTTCGAAGAAAAAGACTCAATATGTACCTTGATTTATTTGTAATATTTCTTTCGTATCCAAATATTACTATAAGACATAATTGTTCGGTTAATTTTAGTCCTGAATATTAGACTCAATTTTCATATTTATCAATCGTTTCTAAATTACTCGTGTTGATACTTTTTTTAATCGTAATTAAGTAGGAGAGAGATAAATAATATTAAGGAAGATAGTTATGATATTTTAGGAAAAACGTGTCATATAAAAACTTTTTTCATTTAATTAAATTAATTAAATAGATCTTATATTAAAAAATAGATTAATAATATTTAGGTTATCTGTGCGACATAATTTTTTTTATTTAAGAAATTATGTTCACTAAACTGAGTTGTAAAAGTTTAAGTCTCTCACAATCAGATGTCAATTCCCAATGGCTTGTGATTCGCCATTTCATAGGCAGCATTTGGGAATTCAATCGGCAACCTTTAGGAACGATATATACCAGCCGCATTAACGCCAATAGCCCAGTGGCTACTATTGACGCATCTGCCATTGGTTGTAGTTGTATGGAAAAAACAGAGGCAAAGGACTTTTGGTTCTCTCTGTTTTTGTTGTTTATTTTATTGTTATCAAAATAATATTATAAAATTATTTTTCAAGGCAAGTTTTAGAAATAAAAAACAAAAAATTGTGTTTGGAAAATAAATTTTAAAAAATCATACTTTGACATGTGGTAGTTGTCAACTTGTCACTGGTAGTGATAAGTAAATGATAATAAGTGAAAAGAGAAGAAAATTTGTCTAATTTTTCAGAACAAAAAATAAAAAAACAAAAAAAAAAGAAAAAAATGTAAAAGTTGTTTTGATTTTTAAGTTTTTGAAAATATGTTACTTATTTTGCTTTTAAAATAATTAATTAAAAATAAATTATGAAGCAAGTTTTTTTTTTCTGTTTTTAAAAATAAAAATTGTTTTTAAATAAACCCTTGACCTCCACAGTTGTGTGATATCCGTGCTTTTATCCTCACTTCAACTTTCAAGTCTAAGAGGATGTTTGACAACCTTCAAACTATGGTTTCAGAAGTACTTTTTCGTAAAACAAGACAAATTCCTCTATATATTTATTTCGTAAACCGTAAAAATACTTCTGAAACCATGATTTGATTTCTATCCAAACACTTCCTAAAGTTTTTACTTTAATTCTCTCAACTTTTTCGTCTTCCTATTTGATTCGTCCTCCAACTCTCAGGTCTCAGCTCTTTGAATTATAAATTTAATGGTTTTAAACTGTGAGTGAGTATTAATGTTTTTGAATTGTCTAAGTTACGATTTTATGACTTGAATTGTAAATTGAGTTATATCTACATGTATATGGTGTTATGCGCACACAACCACCTTTTTATTAAGCGACAATAATAAAATAATAATATGAAGAAGTATAAATAAATAAAAAAACTAATAAGCTGTTAACTAAAGATCAACCAAACACAATAGGTAACATGTAAAACTAGATTTTACTAATACATTTTTTAAAATCAACCAAACACAATAAGTAACATATAAAACTGGATTTTATTTCTTTCATTTTTCTTGCTAATACTAGAACAAACACATCTACTGAAATTATAATATTTTATCTGAACATTTCTGAAATAAACAAACCACAATAATTATGCTTTATCAAATAATGTAAATTAGGGGAGATGGTGCAGCTATGCGTTATCGTCTTAAGTGATTAAAGAAAAGAGAGAGACAAATAGTTGAAGAGTGAAATGGTTGAATTTGTCTGAGTAATAAAAAATGAAATTTATGGCTAAGGATAAGTTAGCAATTTGATGAATAATTTATAAAAACTATTCAGAATATATTATATATAACTATATACTACTTTCGGTCTTTAATATAAGATATCGTTTAACTTTTATTTTGATCTTAAATATAATATCCAATTCCACTTTGTTTCTCATGTTTACGCATTTTTTAAGGTAATCCTTCTAATAATGATAATTCTAGCTAATATACTTGATTAGCAAGGATAATTTAAAAAAGACAACACATATTTATAAAAATAACTAAATTAATTTATTTTTTTTAATTTTTTTTAAATTAATCAACTAGTTTTTTTATTTAGGATATGAGATAGTACAACAACGCAACTTAAAGTAAAAAATAAATAGGCTAAATAACCTATTTATCCAACCCTAAATCAGAACTATGGGACCATGCTCTCTGCGTAGCAATAATTTCCCGATTAGCGCTTCAATCTAAGCCCTCAACTTGTTTTACCAAGAAAATTTAATGCTTTCTCTGCCCCTTCGCTGAACTCACAGGATCGTACCCCAAAACAGTCTAAGCAGGAAGCGGCGCGTAGCCTCGCTGCGCGTGTAGGAGTATTTTTACTTTAAAGCGCCCACGCGAGTTGCTGGCTGGGCTGGGTTGCTCCTCCAGAAAAAAAGCACGCCGAGGCAACGATCAGTCAGACCCCGCCTCAATTGACTCTTGTTTCGAAATTTTGCGCCTTCTGAAGTTGTTTCTGTAACGTTTCGCGTACCAAATTCTTGAGCTCGGGCTGAGGAGTGAAGTTCATTCTCTTCGTTCTTTTCCCTACATCATCATTATTTTGATATCATCGTTTACGCATTTTTCATTTGATTCCTGATTGTAATTTTCAGCTTTTCCGTCCCCATTTATGGAGTCACCCGCAGTTGGTGTGCTGCCGGCTAAACGCCCTGCAAATGGTATTCCCTGACTCTTGTCTCTTTACCTCCTCTCACGTGAATCGTATTTGTCGGGACAATGTTGGTCGCTAGTTGCTGAGCATCTTATATTGTGTTTTCAGCCGCATTTTCTTGCATGGTCCTAATGCTTGCGATCATTTCACCTCTTTAATTGATTATGCTCTTCGTTGTCTCTCTTTTCTTTCTAGTTTATCTGAGCGCATGCATTGATACAGTTGTGCGCTAAAAATATTTTGCATATCAGAGAATCGAACCCACTATGGAATAGAAGCTAATAAAATATTGTTTTGACTTCATTCGGAGTGTCTAAAGGCTCCATGGAATCCACTTTGGGCGTAGTGAGTTGCCGGAGGTCTTGAAGCACTGAATTGATACTAAGATCAAACATTTTTGTAAAACTGATCTCATTGATGAGCTTTATGAAGTGGAAAGCAGATGCTGCATTTGTATATTTATCATTGTTTTCGCTCGTATCATGTTCCTTGAGGAATTTTCGTTGTATCGTTGAAGATAGATGTCTTCAGGTCTTTCCTCCCCTTATTATAGCTGTTGCCATATTATAGCTGGTCTTCAGGTCTCCTTTGTGAATTGTAATGCATCAACGGATGTTGATTTTGTTTAACTTTTGGTACTCGTTATTTTCTGAGAACAGGATTTAATTTAGAGAAACACAAAAGATTAAAAGTTGTAGACTATAGCAATCCATATGCAATTGCCGACTTGCTTGATGGCCTGAACCACGGAAAATTTGGAAGTGTCACAAAGGATATAGAGTCCCTTATAGCTCAAAAGATGCAGACATTGAGCCCTATATTTGCAAAAGATCCTGCGCTTCTACAGTTTGTGAAAGTGGGAATGAATCACAATGAAGACACTGCAAAGGTGAAAATTTTAATCAGATTCGCTGACTTACAAACATGGACTGGGGCTAACCGGCTAAGGCCTAATACACTTTAGCTAACGCATACTCCATACATTATACTAATGGTTAATGATTTTCCATGTCAGAAAATCATAGATTTGGAGGATAATCTCAAGACAAAGACTGCTCCAAAAGCATCATCAACTGTTGTAATTATTGATTCAGATGAGGAAGATGATAGAGATAAGAAACCTTTTCTGCCATTTCAAGAAGTTGTACTGCCAAAACCTGTTGTCCCACCGACTACAAAGGACATGGTTGTAAGTGTTTACCTGTTCTGTTAACCCTAAAGTGGTGAAAGCATGAAATAATTTTATGTTTGTGTATTTGAGCTTTGTATTTTGAAAGTATTTTCTTTCTATAAGAACTGAATAAATTTGATTGAAGCATATCTTATTTGACTGTTATTTGTTATTTTTTTTCCTGGGTGTTGGAAAGGGAGGGTTTGATTCTTGTAAATATATATCTGGGAGGTGTGTTACATGTTGTTTATCTTTATTCTCATGTTGAGCGGATTGTCTAGGGCTTTGGAGCTCATTACCTTGTGTAACAAGCTTTGACGCGTAACAGCTAATTATTGATGAGCATGTGATGATGCTCAAGTAAAATTGTGACATGTGGCAAAAATCATGAGAAATTTCGAGTTCCTTCTTTTCCTGACATAGGATCTGGGTCAGTATGGTGATGTTACTTCTATTTTAGTACTGTGACTTCTGCTAATTGGGACGACTTAGAAGTTACTCGTCTGAAACTTCTCCTTAAATGGAACAGTTATGTAGATTGTCACCAATTTTCTTTCTAAACTTTAAAATTTGATTCGAACGGAAACACACTCACTATCAGATAAACCCATACTTTGGATTACTGCATGTGAAAATTGTTTGCTCCCTGTTGTCTGATATTGTGTGTGTGTGTGTGTGTGTGTTTTGCCCTTTTTATGACACGTGTGGATGTTGTATTTGTTGCAACTTATCATGTCTTGCATCCTTTTGATCTGACTTCCTTTGATACTTTATTTGCAATTATCAATAGGTGTACCATGGTCCCAATGCACATCCTTCTATTGGGTGTCATGCTGGAATTCTAGGTGTAAAACCTGAACTTTCTCTTGTTGGTGAAGACAACATTGAAAAAGATAAAGGTGCTTTTATTGGTGTTCAAGGGGAAGACAATCCACAGGCTGATACAAAGGGCGATGAGCTAGATGATATTTGGAGGGAGATGTCAATGGCAATAGAATGTTCCAAAGTATGATTACTTTTTGAGAAAAGCAAATGTGACAGTGTTTGATTACTTTATGTGCTGCCTTATTTGAAGTAATTGCATTTTATCGTTATTACTCCTTAAATATTCTTGACATTTAGTTCCCCTTTCCCCTTGCTAGTCTCCCATATGTTGTGCTTTCTATAGCTCATTTTTCCTGATAAATTCCTTTTATGATTTTCACATAATGTAAAATTGCGTAGTTGTTTAGATGGTAAGTATGCTCTTACCTTCTCTACCAAGGTGAATCACCTATAAAAATACAATGGTAAGTTCCACTGGCACTAATTTCTTTTAATTCTGCTTTCACTAGGATGATGCTATGGATTCTCCACATGATGAAGCTGAAAAGGGTGGGGGTGACTGTGATCACTCTTATGTTTTAAAAGATGATCTTGGTTATGTTTGTCGCGTCTGTGGAGTTATCGACAGAGGAATTGAAACCATATTTGAATTCCAGTACAAGGTTAGATCCTTATATCTGCATTATACTTTAAGTTGGTAGATATCTGGGTATGATCTTTATTTCCCCTAAAAAAAGGTGATTCAAATTGAGCAAAATAAATTTCCCAAATTTCCACAGAAGAAGGGAAAGGAAAAACCATAATTTATTTTGTCATGCTCAAAATTCTATTTTTGTATGGTTTGAAACATCTAACCTTTAAATTGAAACGAGATTTTACTTGTTGCGATGGTTTTTAGGACAATGATTTATAACCAGAATAAGTTATTTTCATGAGTAATTTGCTGGATTAAGATAAAGATTGCTTTTTGTTGACACTTGTGACAGTTCAAAAACATAGTCCCTTGTTAATATTTTCATTTTGTTAAAGGTCAAAAAAAGTACAAGAACTTACGCGGCTGATTCATGGAATGCCAAAGAGAGAACAGCGCCTGAGGTATCAGGACTTAAATTTGGTGAAGATGGTCTTGTGATAACTGAAATATCTGCTCACCCTAGGCATATGAAGCAAATGAAACCTCATCAAATTGAAGGATTTAATTTTCTTGTCCGTAACCTTGCGGGTGACAATCCTGGTGGTTGCATCTTGGCCCATGCTCCTGGTTCTGGGAAGACATTCATGATAATTAGTTTCATGCAAAGTTTTCTGGGCAAGTATCCTCAGGCTCATCCCCTTGTGGTTCTTCCTAAGGGAATATTGGCTACTTGGAAAAAGGAGTTCCAAACATGGCAAGTGGAGGACATTCCACTCTATGATTTTTACTCTGCTAAGGCAGACAGTCGGTCTCAGCAACTGGAAGTTTTAAAACAGTGGGTGGAGCAGAAGAGTATTCTTTTCCTAGGATACAAACAATTCTCTTCAATTGTCTGTGATACTGGAACTAGCCCCGTATCAGTAACTTGCCAAAAGATATTGCTTGAGGCTCCTTCTATTCTAATTTTAGATGAGGGACACACACCAAGGAATGACAACACTGACATAGTTCAATCCCTTACGAAAGTGCAAACTCCTCGAAAAGTTGTGCTGTCAGGAACCCTATATCAAAATCATGTCAAGGAGGTGTTTAACATTTTAAACATTGTGCGTCCACCAAATTTTCTACGTTCACAGACATCTCGACCTATTGTCAGGCGCATTAAGAGTAGAGTGCATGTACCAGGCGTGAAAGATTTCTGTGACTTGGTGGAGAACACTTTGCAGAAGGACCCTGATTTTAAAAGGAAAGTGGCTGTCATTCAAGATTTGCGTGAGATGACAAGCCAGGTACTTCATTACTACAAGGGAGATTTTCTTGATGAGCTTCCTGGCCTTGTAGATTTTGCTGTTGTGCTCAATCTTACTCCCCGACAGAAGCATGAAGTCCATAAACTAAAGCACTTATCCAGAAAGTTTAAGATAAGTTCTGTAGGAAGTGCTGTTTATCTCCACGCTAAATTAAAGCCTATGGCGGAAAATTGCGCTGAGAATTCTGCTGTATCTGATCAGATGATGGATGAGAAAATAGAGAGTATAGATGTGGAAGATGGAGTAAAGTCAAAATTCTTTCTTAAAATGCTGAACCTTTGTGAATCAAGTGGGGAGAAGCTTCTAGTTTTCAGCCAATATCTCTTGCCTTTGAAATATTTAGAAAGGTTAACTGTGAAAAGGAAGGGATGGAGTCCAGGAAAAGAAATATTTGTTATATCAGGTGAATCAAGCTCTGAACAAAGAGAATGGTCCATGGAGCGGTTTAACAATTCACCAGATGCTAAAGTCTTCTTTGGCTCAATCAAGGCATGTGGAGAAGGCATATCTCTGGTTGGGGCATCGCGCATAATTATTTTAGATGTTCATCTAAATCCATCAGTGACACGCCAAGCAATTGGCCGTGCATTCCGACCAGGTCAGACAAAGAAAGTCTTTGCATATCGGTTGATAGCTGCCGATTCTCCTGAACAAGAAGACCATGATACTTGTTTCAAGAAGGAATTAATATCAAAAATGTGGTTTGAATGGAATGAATACTGCGGCTTTCGTGATTTTGAAGTTGAGACTGTTAATGTGGAACAATGTGATGATTTCTTTCTGCAAAGTCCGTTGCTAAGGGATGATATTAAAATTCTGCATAGAAGGTCAGTGGTCGCCTCTCCTGCCTTTTAAGACAACCATGCAATTCTCTCTTAACATTTTAATATTCTGTTGTGTGTTTCATGTAGGCCTTGACACTCAGGTGAGCTTGATGGACCGGGGTAACTGAAGTTCGTTTGAGATTGCACAGTTTAACGTACAGTCCAATGTGATATCGGCTCCGTAAACTTGATTCTACTAGTTTGTAAATGCACAGTAGTTCATAACATTAGGCATGTCCTTCTTTCGATGTCCTCAGTTTTTTTGTCAAAAAAAAAAAAAGAATCAGTCTTGTATTGGCTTGCTCGCGGTGATTTACATCGTAACTCGAGGGCTTGAAACTAAGTTTCTGACGAAGATCCTTTAAAACAACTTCAGACAAAATTCCGATGGGGAAAAATAGAAAAATTGGGGCCCAATTGTGTGGAACTGATAACAAGGTACAGGTGCGTTCTCCTCTGTCTGATCTTCATCCCAAAGCGCATCTTCAGTCACTGAAAAGGAGTTGGATACTTCGATCTGTTCATGTTAGCTGATTCTTATTATAAGTTTGAAATAACTAATTTACAGATAACTAGTAATTAGTTAAAATTACTCAAAAAATAATAAATAGGTGAAAAATATATTTTTATTTTTAAATGTATTTATAATAAATAAGAAAAATAACTAAAAGGTGACATTGAAAAAAATATATTAAATGTTAAGATGTTTAAATTAAAGTTTATAAAATGGACCTTGTTTTTTGTGAAATTTGAAGTTTATAAATAAGAGAGAAAGGAGTAAGGAATAACCGACATCTTTTACTCAGTTATCTGAGTTCACATATAATTGCAATATTGGTAGTATCTCAGTAAATGAATTGGTTGTCTAATACTGAAAGAGAAATTAATTTGTTAATATGTAAAATGTTTCACATTCTTACGCATGCAATTATCAAGCTAATTTAATGCACTTTAGTAGCTGTATACATTAAACCCGAAGTAGATTAGCATGCGTTTGGCTCTGCTTCGAGACAGCCTCTTCGTCCAGGTCATGGGGATGTATATTACTATTGTTCAACATTCTTCGATTTGGTGAAGATGCTGCGGCAAAATGATGATTTTAAAACAATAACAGAACCTTCCAGAAATGACCAGTGTTTGATATCATGGCGATGCATGTTATAGTTCACGTTAATGAAGCTCGTTATAATTCTAAGCGCACTCCAATCTTTTTATTGGCCAGAATATAACATGATCATCCGATAAGAAAGCTAGATTTCCGCACATAATGTTTTTGTAAATTTAATGCCAACACTAAGGTGAAATCAACTAATCTATCCAGTTAATTACTGTTATATCCGTAAGACTGTTGATCTTAAATACATAATCTTTTATAAAATATAACGTTACATTTGTGACTCAGTAACAAAAAAGCAACTCTAACCATTTTCTCCGAACCAGTTTTGATGGTTATCACTTTGATGAGTATCCCGAACTCATTGTATCTAAATCATTCATATCTCTTTTAGATGGTTTGGATTTGATTTTTTTTTTTATTTGTTCAATATAATTATTTTAATGTGTATAAAATTTAAAATAGAGATAACCTCTTAGTTATCATTTTTTTTTTCAAAAAATAGTTTTTTATTTAAAAATAATTAAAAATTTTAAAGCTAAACTATTTAAATTAAATAGAGATGATCTAGATTTGATAAGCTTAAAATACTTATCAAGATGATAAAGACTGAAATTAGCTTTTTACTTTCTCACGGGAGATACGACTTTCCATTTTTCAACTTGCCAAGGGATATCGCGGGAAGTTACATAAGTTTTCGACACTGAACTAATTTTAATTATTTTCTTTCATCCAAGTAAAATAGTCAACAGGTGCGAGCAAGGAGTACTTGACACGATCTAGCTTCATCAATCCTATTGTTACACTTTCATTCTTTCCAACCCCCTTCATAACTATGGTTAAAAAAAAAAAAAGAGCTAACCTTCCAATAAATTTCGAGATAGAATACAACAGTTCTTGCATTGTCCTTGATGGATTGCTTCCTATACAGGGTCGTCTTATATCACTGTCAAACATGATGGAGGACCCACATCAGCGATCATCACTAATCACTCATTTTCATCCCACAAGGATTGTGTCTGATGTACTCAAATCAGACACAATACTATACTTTATTATACATCTTGCATGTCACAATATCGCAACAGGTTGTCTTTATGCTATAAAATCATGCCATTAACGGGACGCAGTGAACCTTCGGTGCTGGTTTCCAGCAGCTACGTAATCAAGTTCTGATGTCTGAGCTCCAATGGTACCATCCTCCCTCATGACAACGAAGCTATGACGACTCTCACCAGACATAAAGTCACCAACTTCACAGTGCTGCAAGCCTAATGTCAGGGACACGCCGTTCCCAGACTGAAACCTTCCCAACTCGGACATTTGGCACGCCGGAGCAACCGCCACAAACCCTGCATTGCCTTCATTAGTCTGAACATCTGTGTTATCTTGGAAGACACTACAGTCATCGAAGCTGAGCCTTTGATGCTCCTCGGTCTGCTTGTCAGATCCCAAGTCTTTTGTTTGTCCAAGTCCAACATTGCTGTTCTTGTCGGCTATTGAACGCTGGCTCTGTTGTAAATCATCGCACCCATCTTCGGAGATCTTGACATCGCTTTTGCCTACCTTGGATGCCTCTTCAGTTGAAGAACTGGAGTTCAAGTCGGCATCTCCAATTTCTTCCTTGTACATCTCCTCAATCATAGGTTTCCAGAGACGAACTCGTGCATTTATAAACCAATTTGAGACCTATATCATGCAAAAGGTATCTTCCTTATCTATCTCAGAGAGTTACGCCGCTCTAAATATATGAATCAAAAACTTCGAGTTCGATTTTGTTCTTCAGCATTTCCCTTTTTTGTTTTTTTTTTTTTTTTTTTTTTTGGGTTCCCTATTAAAATACAAGTAATTATCTTAGCCAGTTCCTAAGAAGACGGTTTTAAATTTTACCTGACTTCTAGTCAAACCTGTCTGCCTTGCTAGCATTGCCTTTTCAGAATCTTTGGGATAGCTGTGAAGCAAGAGAATAGGGCAATTAGATAACTAAACACATAAAGCCTTGGAACAATATCTAAGAAGCAAACAAGAGAAAGAAGAATACGGATGAAGGAAATGTTCAAAAAGCCAGGCGCGAAGAATTGAAACAGAGCCTTCTGGTAGTCCCCTTTGTGGCCTCCACGCATGATGCATCACTCCAAGCTGCTGGAGAGCCCTCTGTTGCCGGATTTGTTGGTCAACATACCGGAGTCTTGATATTCCAACTCCTTCATTATTTCCTGCAGAATCTTGCTCTCCAAGGCTCTTCTGTGTCGCACTGATCTGGCCAGTGATTGCATCATGCAAGCACCGGAAATGACGCGAAATGGTTTGGAGAGCCAGTGCCGTGTATGGTTTAGCTGCCCCACGTCCTGCTATCACATCAAATGACGATACCACAATCTGCATCTGATGATAATATTGTTTGTACCTGCTGTGAACCTGTGGCAATTGCATGGAGGCCATTAGAACTCCGAGAAAATGGCCTTAACATGATCACCATAATATGGTAGCCAGCACAATGCAGCAATTATGAGAAAAGACAGATTATTTAGCATGCGTTAACGAATACTATGGACTATTCATCTGGACTAGATCACAGGGCCATGTGATTAAGAATGGGATGAAGGAATGTAAGATAGGAGGATGAAATGTTCCGAATTAATTATAATATGAATATATATGATTTATTGGACAAATGTCTAATTAGATATGTGTCAGTCAGGTGCTTGTTTATAGTAGCAGTCCTCCATCAGCTGCTATTACTTAACATTTATATAACTTTCTTCGCGTCTGAAACATAAAGTAGCACTCAAGTCAGCGTAGTCATGGGTTGAGTATATGCTAATCCTATTGGTAAAAGGTGTTACCAACTTTATCTCATTCCCATTATTTAGCAATATACTACCTGCGGTCCTAATTATAAGAGCTAGTTAATTAATTTGAAGAGATTAAGAAAAGAAGTTAAATTAGTTATTTGTAATAAATAAGTATTGTCTTTCCTAAAATATCCTTGCTAATCAAATATATTAGCTAGAACTACTATTGTTAGAAGAACTATCTTGAAAAAAAATACATAAATATTAGAGACAAAGTGGATTGGGATCTTATATTTAGGACCAAAATAAAAGTCAAATAAGGTCTTATATTAAGGACTGGAAATAGTACTAGAGAGTTTATGGTTATGAGAGACATCAGTACTTGTTGGGAAAAAAACTAAAAACTATGATTCCTCCTTAAAAAGTTCCGTCAGCATGCAATTTCCAACACCGCTCCATGAGGGGGATGACTTCAAAGTTTGACACAACTCTATGATTCCTAAACACTATGATAATAACTAAACACTATGCTTCCTCCTTAAAAAGTTCCGTCAGCATGCAATTTAAAACACCGATCCATGAGGCGGATGACTTCAAAGTTTAAAAGGATGACTTCAAAGTTTAAAACAACTCTTGGGTTGCCCTATCTTGTAATTTAAGGTTATTAAACTACTAACAGTGTTGGAATACCACTCAGTAGTTCCCTGTTCCAAGACAGAACACACATATCTAACTTTAATTTGCCAACTGCTGGACCCCACATGTACTGTTTGGAATTTGAAAAATATATCACATTGTTCATAACTTACGAATAATGCATGTTGCTTTAGATTTCATATTTATATTGATATTAATAGTGACATTGATGATTATGGGCTCTTCTAAAGGTATAGAAGAACAGTTATGATCAACTGTGTGATGACACTGGACTTATAGAAGAGCAGAACTCAACTTAATATATAGGTCATACCTCATCCAGCATTGACAGTAGCTTTGTTAACTTGTTCTGCAGATCTTGTTTTTCAGCATGTAAAAGCTCACAAGAGGTGTTGCCGGCTAAATCTTGAGGGTTAGGCTCTCTATTAGCAGGGGCCCTTTCATTTTCTAGTCTCCCATCATTGATGGATTTTGACCTAAAAACGAATCAAAACTTGGGTTAGAACTTTGATCATGGAAAGGGGACACTTGGATTCCTGGTGGTGTTTGGGACCCAAGACTGAGAGATAATCCCTGGCTCTGCAAGTTATGTCCATCCATGGGGTGTGTTACTAGCATCTCATTTCTCCCCGGTCTCCATGCAGTGAAATCATAGGCCCCAGTTTGTTGCCCACCAAGATTTGCCAAGATTTCTTGCTGTTCTGGGGCTGATTGTGACAAACTCGTTGGTGGGATCACAAAGCACCCATTTTGCTCCTGAGAATTGCCAGAAATGCTTCTGGATATGAACCATTGTTCATATACAACGTTACATTACTAGGGGTAATCGGTGTCTCAGAATATGAATTTGGCAAATAAGTTGCCATATTGTCAAAACCCTCTGCTTGATGCTTTATGGAAGTAAAAGTTGTAAGCTAATCCAGACATGCACAGAATGTTTTTGAAAATTAATGGTTATTCAAAGTCACGCGCGGTACCAACACAGAAGAAGCTTAATTCCGCTTTAGATCATTATGCAATTCATGTCACCAGCACTGAGAGAGGATAAGTCATTGAAACTGACTCCTTTCATTAGCAGAATGCAGATCTCTAATTTCAGGTTTACCTGGCTTTATACATAAGCTGAAAAAAAGAAAAGGAAGCAAAATCAATCCCCAAGTACGCATACTTGTTGCCACCATAAATGAAATTTGTTACTTAGATGCTGTGAAAATCAAGGTAAAGGCAAAAATCCATGAAATTCGTACATGTGAAATGATGTGAGAATCAAGGCTCCAAAAAATGAACTTACTAAGCAAACCAAAATATTAATTGGAAGGAAGGGGGGTTGCTTTCTTTCCAATCAAGCAGCCGATCCGTGAAGAAAAAACAGAACGAAGCAAAGGAAAGAATCAAAAACTATAAGTACAACTGAATCTAGAAGAGCTCCTGTCCCATGGCTGAACTTTAGGCTCGGCTCTGCTTAAACTAAATTCAATTAGATAATCGAAAGGTCATCTTAATGACGTCAAAATCAAAACTTCTTCTCCGCCAAATGAAAGTGAATTATTGTTTCCTTATTTTTACCAGAATGAACGTAAACTAAATTCAAGGATTTCTTATCCTAATATATCAACGTAATACTCCAGGGGAACAAGAAATTGCAAGGAAAGAATTTAAAAAAAAAAAAAAAACTTTTCCATCAACGATCAAACATTTGCTCAGAAGAACCTCCCGCTGATAGCTAATTTACCAGGGAAAAAAGGGGGAGCCAAAAAGAAAAGACACTGAGTACTATCAATGTAGCCAACAAAATGGTACTAAAATGCAGGCTCCAAGAGAACTCACTCAAGGTTGCAGAGGATATGTAAGTACCCAACAAACTTAGGTTTCAGAACTAGAAAGTTCACACTTGCTCTTTATCTCTTCGACCAGAGAGACAGAGAAATGCAGTTTGAGGAAGAAAAACCATGAAACCAGAAACACCACCAGTTTTCTTCAGACCTTAAGAGGAAGAATGTTCAAGCTAAGAGCCTAACGTGGCCCTTTAACTCAGAAAAGTGGACTCAACCAAACCTGCATACCCATCTTCCAAAAGCATCATCTATACAGTTCTAGTCACCTGATGAACAAGCATACAGATACTACTCTCAACACTGCAACACGAAGAAAAGAGTCACTAAATGCAATTTAAAGTGGACATGTCGCGCATCGGTGTCGCATGTGATGCAGGACTGTGCTCACGGAACACAAAGGACAAAAATTCGTCGCAGAAAGATAACACGAAGGGAAAGTCTATCTCACCGGCCGGCGTAGAGGCCAGCTCCGACCACCAGGTGTACGAACCAAAGTTAAAGGAAAAAAAAAGACTTTTCACAGAAGGCTGTGAGAGAAGAGGAGAGATATAGAGAGAGAGAGAGAAGAGAGAAGAGAGAAAGCAAGAGACTGTATAAAGACGAAGAGGAAGCAGAAGGATGACAAAGAAATTGCGGACGCTGCGAGGTTTTGAAGCTCTGGTATTTTTTTCTTCTTTATTTTTTTGTTTTTCTGGCGCTGGGATTGGTGCAAAATCACTGTTGGAGCAGGTCGAGATTGCGTCAGACTGGGCTATTACCATGAAAATACCAAAAGACCAGAAGAAAACGTGAAAGAAATCAGACAGTGGAGGGTCAAAACTGTACTTTGCAATCCCAAATAATGCAAAAGGTGAAAAACTCGACAGCTTTTTACATGGGGAGATCAGTAGATGTAGACGTAGAAATAGCTGATGAAGGAGGTAGGGAGAGCTATCAATGGCTTTGGTTTCTGACTCTCCGCGAAACTTAAAATTTAAAAACTTTTTATAAATAATAATAAAACAGAAACCTTTTTTCCCTCTCAGCTAGAGTTTGTTTTGCGGTTGAAACCTGATAAGCTATGACGCTGATTGTTTAGATGGCTCAATAATCACTTTTAAAAAGTTTTATAAATTGAGATAAATTTTTTTATATATTTAATTTATAACCGTAAAAATGTTTTTAAAATTATAATTATGTTTTTACTTAAACTCTTTTCAAATAAAGAAGGTGTTTGTCTAACTCTAAAAGTGTTTTTAAAAATCACTTTTCTATAAATTGAAACAAACTCCTTCATATATTTATTTTATATATTTTAAAAGTATTTTTAAAATCATAGTTTTGTATCTATCCAAACACTCCCGAAGTGTGATAGATAGAAGGGGTGTTTGGATTCATATAAAAGTACTTTTTAAAAATATTTTTTACAAGTTAAGACAAAATTTTTATATATTAGACAAAATTTTGTATATATTTATTTTACATATTATAAAATTATTTTTAAAATTATAGTTTAGTTTTTATCGAAATAGTCTCCTGATAATTTCAGAAGATGCTAAATTTGTTATGATTGAAGATTGTTTCGCTAAATTGTTAGTTCTTTGTTTGTGGGACGGTAAGAGTGTATTTGGTTGTCCTAACAACCAGTTGGTACATCAGACCTAAATGCTTTCATAACTTTAACTCCCTCCAAACCTTATTTCCTTCTCTTGCATTCTCTTCCAAGTCTGGGCTTTCCTGCGTCTTTATTTGCTTGGTTTTTAGCTGTCATATATTCCTATAAGCATATTCATGATTTCATTCTGCTGATTTTATACAGCTAAGCTACTAGCCGTGCAACGTTGTTGTACGTGTTTGATAATTAAACTATAAATAAAACACTAATAGGTGCGACACAAATTAAATGTTTTATAGCCAAGCTTTCTTGGATTATCTAATGTGCTTAGGTAAACAGTATTTATTATATTATAGCTAGCATTGAAACACTGTTTTTTGATTTTTATTATAAAAACTAGATAACTAATTTAAGAAGATTAAAAAAATTAATTAAGCCAATTAATTGTGGTAAATATGGACTGATTTCTCTGAGTTATCTTATTTAATTATATATATCAAAACTATTTATTGATGAAAATCTTTTACAATTAATAAAGATATTTTAAAGAAAATATTAAATATTTGAGAGACAAAATATGTTTAGGTTTTATATTTCACCTGTTATTTGCTAATAGCTAGTTCACTGTATGCTAGGTTCTAATTCTGTTAATACATATTATGAGGTCTCTTTAATTATTAGACAATTGCATGCGGGACGTTGTTATAGCTTCCGATTCCATATCATTAATCTATACGGTTGCATCACTTGCATGCATCAAAACTATTTATTGATGAAAATCTTTTACAATTAATAAAGATATTTTAAAGAAAATATTAAATATTTGAGAGACAAAATATGTTTAGGTTTTATATTTCACCTGTTATTTTGCTAATAGCTAGTTCACTGTATGCTAGGTTCTAATTCTGTTAATACATATTATGAGGTCTCTTTAATTATTAGACAATTGCATGCGGGACGTTGTTATAGCTTCCGATTCCATATCATTAATGATTAATCTATACGGTTGCATCACTTGCATGCATGTCTCTCTCAATAAAAATTTTTTTGCCAGAAGTCTCTCTGAATAAAATTGAAGGAAGAAAACGATTAAATTGAAAAAAATATATATTATTTGATATCAATCGAAGGTGAAGATGCCTTTTAGAACTAGTAACTTCTTTTCAAAGTTAATTTCGGCTCTGTTTTGGATGTTCCAAAACCGTGATTTCAGAAGCACTTTCCGCAAAACGAGGTAACCTCCTCCACATATTTACTTCGTAATCCATAAAAGCACTTCTGAAACCATGTGTTTTGTTTTTATCCAAACACTCCCTTAAATCAGTATCAATATATATTATTAAGAACCATGTAGACTCCAGTGAACGTCTGGGTTGCGTATATAATTTTTTATTACGAATTAATCAAACAGGGATGTGAATTGATATCATTTAAAAGTACAAAAGAAAAGGTCAATGAAAATTTATACGAGTAGCTTCTTATTAGAACAACTAAATTACACTTTAGTGTGCGTAGAAAATGAAAAATGGTAAATAATCATCTAAAAATTACATTACCACATACCATAGCAGTCCATAAAAAAGAAAAAGCAGAAACAAGTTGAATACTCCTTTGTCCTAAAAATAAGTCCATACTGTGTATAAGGATCTTGTATTTAGGACTGGATGAGTAAAAAAACAATGAAATAAGAAATTACATTAGTAATATGCATTAGTTAACAAAACATGTTACCAGAACATGTCATATGTTAGAATAATTAAATTTCATACTTCTCTAGTTTTTAATATAAGACATGATGGTAGTGAATTGATATTAGTTTATATGTAAGAACTATAATATGTTCATCTATTTTTTTCAAAAATATTCATATTTTTCTTAACAATTACAGGGGCAAAGGGAATTAAAAAAGACAAAGAAATTAAAAAGATGATTACGATGTTTTAAAAAAATATCACATTAATCATCTAACAAACATCCTTAATACCAACATCCTTAATATATTTATAGTTAATTAGGTCTTACATTAATAACAAAAATAGTACTAAATAAACTAATATATTACTTCAACAATAAAATATAATTTAATTTTTTGGGAAATATATATTATTTAAATGATAAAATGTTTGGTATAAACAAATAAAGAAAATTTAACTGGGCATTGGTTGATAACATATATATCATGCCTAGTGGGTGAAGTGAAGGATGTAATAAAAACTTCGGGGTTCTCTAAATCAAGTTTTAAAGATCAAGATGACATTTGCATACGAGCTAAAGTTTAGAAAATTTTGGTGTAACTTAACACAAGATTTATTTATATATGGCGCTGAACTGCGGATCATGTCCAAAACAGCGGTAGCACTGATACCGGTGAAAATCGTGGCGGGAACGGGATAACGGCGTTCCTCTCATACGAGCACAGTGATCAAGAAGAGGGGAGAAGAAGAGGATTGAGGAATGCTGTCCATGGCGCTAAAAATGTTTTAAAACAGCAAATATGTTTCATTTCGTTGGTAAATGACAGCAGTAATATACTATCTCCGGTCCTAATTATAAGACCCAGTTGACTAATTTGAAGAGATTATAGAAAGAAGTTAAACTAGTTATTTATAATAAATAGGTATTGTCTTTCCCAAAATATCCTTATTAATCAACTATATTGGCTAGAACTACAATTATTAGAAGGACTACCTTGAAAAAAAATGTATAAATATGAAAGAGAAAGTGGATTGGGGTTTTATATTTAGGATCAAAGTAAAAGTCCAATAGAGTCTTATATTAAGGACCGGAGGTAATAACATTTAAGGGGCACTTAACGAAACCAAGTCGTAAATTTAAAAATAATTTTTATATAAACAGAATTTATCTCAGTCAGTATAATATACTTTTAACATTTTTTTACCCAAATGCCCTCACTAAATTGGCAAGGGCTTATTTTGCATAAACTTAACGGGATTACACGTTAATGAATGGGTTATTTAAACATTGTTCAAAGTTTAGCGATTTTTTTAAATAATTTAGGCATTTTTTTAATAAGTTTAGTTAAGTAAAACAATTTTTTCGTCACAATTGTTAAGTAAAATATTTAATACAAACAAATTAATCCATCGCAGCAACCAGGCAACCCGAAGTCCCGAACCGGGCACTCTTGCCTGCTTGAAGTTCCCACACCTTTTTATTTTCGGGCCGCCATTCTCTGCGAGCAGGCGGGTGCGCCCTCTCATGATTTTTGTGTTCTCCTGACCTGAATACGATACTGGACTTAATCACCACCCTACAGCGTTGCAACTTGAATTTTTGCTTGTCTAGCTTTTTCCTTGCGTTCGAACATGGGGAAGAAGAAAGTGAAGGAAAGTGGAGGGAAAGAGCACTGCCCCTCTACTGTTTTTGTCTCGAACTTGCCCTACTCATTCACCAATTCTCAGGTACATGCCTTTCAATTCCCCCTTGTTCGTCTGAAACTCTGAACCGTAGAGTTCGATCAGAATTTGTCTGCTCATGTATATATTTTTGTGAAAACATATCAGTTGGAGGAGACGTTTAGCGAAGTTGGACCAATCAGGCGTTGCTTCATGGTCATGCAGAAGGGTAGGGAGAATGCTAATCTTTGTCCGTGAAATTTTATCTGGGTTATGGTGTTTTAGACGTGTTTGCTATTGTAGTTGAACTTTTCGCACAAAGTGTGTTGCTTTGTGCGAGTAGGAGTTGGAACTCTTTCAGTTCTTCACTCGCTTGAGCAAATTTATTCAACTCTATGTTCATGACTATCAAACGATTAAACTTGGGAGGAGAGGGTGGCCGTGTTTCCACTTTCCTCCCATCGAACAAAGCTTGGGGGCTCTTTTTCTGTATCAAGGTTTTAGCGCCTACTAGAATTTACTGATGGCGGTTAGAAAACCATGCTGCGTTACTTGAACCGTGGAACTGTGATTCATACACGTGTATTTTATTCGATGAAACATGTTGCCATCTATTTTTTTCACTCCAGTATTGAAGTTCTACTGTGCTGGTATTTGTTTGACAGTTAGATTATCAATATACTTATAAGTGCGGTTCTAATGTGCTTCCACATGACATTAAGGAGTTCTTGTTCTCGTCATAATCATAAATTATCAATATGATAAAGGCACGAAATTGCATCAAACAATATTTGCATATATTGTTATTAGATTAGATGTATAATAAGCCTATATGTGTGTAATACTCTAATTCGCATCACTATTAGCTAAAGTTGAGCTAGAATATTTAATTTTTCTTTTTCTTTTTCTTAAATATCTACCCCAGGGTCATCTCAGCATCGTGGTTTTGGTTATGTTCAATTGTAAGTTTATTCTTCCCTGACAAGTCTTTGTATATTTTCATCCTCCTCTTCCTTTCTTATTTTGTTTAGGCTGACCTATCCTTTTCCCTCCTCTTCTGTTGGATACTTGTTTTAGTAGGTTTTGGCACTCTGTTATAAATCTCCTGCCGTCTTGTTTACCAGATTTTAATTTATGACCTGTAGTTTATGTTATATTCTTATAGTTTTTATAAATCATGTCATCAGTTATTCTTTTGCCTTTGATTAATCAGACAGGAGCTTCTATCAAGTTTGAACATTTATATGACAAACATAAATCATGGCAGTGAACTAATATCAGTAAACCTCCATGATCTTGAGATCTGGTTACTGATACAAACTAGATTGTGCTCCACCGTGTGTTGCAGGAAACTACAGGATATATATAGGATATACAGGATATATACATATACAAAGTATTTTCTGAAAACTTCATTCTAGATATGACAGTTGCTTCAATTATGTGAGATCTGTTACTTAAGATAATTGCTGCGCTTTGTGACTGATGTTTCATTGCAGGACACTAACCCTGACTTATCTGGCTATTGAAATGAAGAGTTGAAACTTTTAATTCTTTTGCTTCCCCCTCCCCCCAAGCAATTATTTCTGATCTCTCTCTCTCTCTCTCTCTCTCTCTGTGACACACACATATCAATTGCTGCTATCATCAGCGCTGTCGAGGAAGATGCTAACCGTGCAATTGAGTCGAAGAATGGTTCATCTGTTGGAGGCCGGAAAATTGCAGTAAAGCATGCCATGCCTCGTCCTCCCCGTGAAGCACGACAATCAAAGTCAAACCAAGGTTATTGCTACATTAAATGTAGTTCAGCATACTGCAATGCATATAGACACACTCCTACATACTTCCTGAAAGATGTGCAAATGTGTGAATGTCATCAATATTCTTTTTTTCCTCTGTCTTTTCTGATTCTGACTTTTTTCATGCTATGGCAGAGAATGCTGATGATATCCCAAAGTCAAAAAATGATGACAATGATGGTGGCTTTTCTGGAGTGAAGAAGCCTTCGTCAGTTACTAAGGAAAAAGGTTGATAACATGCTCCTGCACATTTTTCTTAGTTGTGTATTAATTTAGTTATCAATCTTATATATCCCAGTTATTTTCTTGGAGAATTTTCAGTTGTAAATAATGAAAACCATTCAAGGAAGCATAGTGAAGTGAAAAAAGCAGTTCTTTGTAGGGATATAGCAGATGAGGGGGGCTGTTCTGAAAAGCAGAGGTACTTACTATTCCCTCCTTTGTAATTCCATCAAGTTTTCCATTTGGTAAAAAGAATGTTTCATGGTTGTGATTATAATGAAATAAGAGAATTCTTATACAGAGTCCTCTTTTTGGAGGTCCTTTTTTTGCAAAATAGTATTTCATTAATAAAATTTGTGTTTCTTCTTATATAATTTTCATTTTATCTTTGGCAGGGTTGCTAGAACTGTCATATTTGGCGGTCTTATCAATTCGGATATGGCTGAAGTTGTTCACAGCCAAGTACGGGAGATTGGCAGTGTGTGTTCTATAAAGTACCCCCTTCCTAGGGAAGAATTTGAACAGCATGGTAGATATAAATTTTACCCTTTTGGACTAGGATACTCTAGTTTTATAGCTATGCAATCATTTTTAAGTCTAACATTGATTGAAATTGCTAGAGATGGTTTTGGAATTGAATGTTCTCGCCTATATTATCTGAGTATTAATTAACGATAACATTCTTCCAGGTCTCTTGCAAGATGGATGTAAATTGGATGCTTCAGCTGTACTTTACACAAGTGTGAAATCAGCACGAGCTTCTGTTGCGTTGCTGCATCAGAAAGAAATTGGAGGAGGAATTGTCTGGGCACGTCAATTGGGTGGAGAGGTAAAGTAAATGCACGTCTGCTATAAGTTTAGCTAGAAAACCTGTTTTATATTCTTATTTTTATTCAAGAAAAAATCTACATCTGAGGCATAACTCCCACCCCACTGTGTCATCTGAGATGAGTAAATCTGTTTTTGAAATGTGGACCAGCTCACCATCAACCAAGCCAAACCACGCTATTTGCTGGCCATAATTTGCAATTTGGTTTTTGGGGAATACTGATCTTTTATTGGAGTCGTTCAATAATCTATTACATGGTAGAAGTTAGACTTAAGTGTGTGCTGGGCTTTGTTATCTCCTTTTGTATATTTTGTTCTCAATCAGCACAAATGTAGTTTTCCCTCTTTACAAAACGTGTGCATCAACTATTGTTAGTTTCTGAGAAATTTTATGTTACATGTGGACAGGGTTCCAAGACACAGAAATGGAAGCTTATTGTTAGAAATCTTCCGTTCAAGGTTTGATGCCTGGGATTACAGAACTTGATAAACCTTTCCCCCCTTTTTCTTGACTGGAGATCATGACTTCTGACCGGTTGACTAAACATTGGTACAGGCCAAGGAAAATGAAGTAAAAGAAATGTTTTCATCTGCTGGGTTCGTGTGGGATGTATTTATTCCACGCAAGTCTGATACAGGGTATATTCTGAACTCCTGAATTCATCTGTTTCAATGTAATATCGTGTTATATTTTCTTATTCTACCTTTTCCCTTCCCTCTTGCAGACTGTCTAAGGGTTTTGCATTTGTGAAATTCACTTGCAAGCAACATGCAGAAAATGTATGAATTTTGGTCAAGGCTGTATTCTAGAGTATTGGTTTTTTCAATAAATGATGTGATTAAAGCTTTCCTCTTTCTTGCAGGCTATTCAGAAGCTTAATGGATCAAAGCTTGGCAAGCGCCTCATAGCTGTTGATTGGGCTGTTCCAAAGAAGATATATAGCAATGATAAAAATGGTATGCTTGCTTTGGAAAATGGTAGGTTTTGATATTTTGGTGCAATTATTGAACTTGACTGCCACCATCCATATTACTCAAGCAATTTTTATTTTTCTCCTATCATTTTTTTTGATATGTAAAGAGCTGGTATTCTAAAATTGGGGCAATATTATGTATTTGTCCTGACTTGAGCATAAGTATTCTGATTCTTATTTAATAAATCCGTAATACTATATCATTTGGCAATATGAAAGGCATTATCTTTTATCTATGGTTCAAGAAATTCAGATAACTTAAGGTCCTTTATTTTCATTTATCTGCATTAGATACTATTATGCCTCCGTATATTAATGGCACTCACATTTTTCTGGCAAAGTTAACAAGTCTTCCATCTATAGACTTGATAATTTCTTTGAGGTCAAAGTTCAATGTTTCCATTTACAGTCTTTTGAATGTCTACAGTACGTTTTGTTCTCACTGCTAACACTGCAGTGAGGTATAGATATTTTAAGATTTGCTGGCATCAACATATCAGTTTTAACTGATTGTTTGGGTAATTTCTGAACTTTGAAGTAGAATATGCTTATGGAATGCCTGCCATATGATATTCGTTTCCATTCTTGTTCACATTTGCAATTCCAATGTTGGGGCTTTACCTTTGTCTATACCTTTCTTCTTGACCTAGTGATATTGAAAGGGTGAAGTTTATTTGTGCTTGGCTCTATTTTTTTCAACGGAATCTTCATTTCTTCTAATTTGCAAAGATATTGGTTAGCTTTTCCCCCCCTCTAAGACTTGGTTATTGATAGAGCACAATGACGGTGTGTGATCCATGTAGCTGACCAGTTTGTTGTTGTTATTGTTGTATTGGCTAGCTTTTTTACACTAATTAACTTCCTAGTCCTTCTGTTCTATTGTTCTGTACTTGTGTTTTGCCATTTTGTTTCGTTTTCTGATTTGAGGGGTTCTTATTTTTTACACTTTGTACTCTCTTCTCTTTCTTATACATTTTCTTATTTATGAAACAAATCACGAAATGCCAGATGCCATTCTTATTTACTTTGTGCATGGCTATTTGTGTAACACGTCTCTTGTGGTTTTCTCAGGACAACATAAGGTGACAGAGGAAGATGGTAGTAGTTCTGAGGACAATTCAGAGGATGATGTTGAGGATACAGGCAAACAGGACCATCAAGGAGATGATACTGATCGAAATGACTGCAGCTCCTCCCAGGAAGAAGATGTGCCAGCTGAAGTTAACTTTGATAAGGAAGCAGAGATTGCCAAAAAGGTTCTTAAGAACCTAATGACATGCTCCACCAAAGGAACATCCGCAAATGATGATTCTATGTTTCCCAAGAAAAACAAGGAATCAAAATCCAATAAAAACATTAATGAGGCAGATAAAAAGTCATCCAAGGAGTTAGAAAAGGTTACAGATGTTTTTGAGCCTGAAATATTGGGCAAAAGCGAGATCTCTAATCCTAAGCAAACAGAAGAAGATTTGCAGAGAACAGTTTTCATAAGTAACCTTCCCTTTGACTGTGCTAATGAAGAAGTGAAACAACGATTCTCTGGATTTGGGGAAGTGGAAGACTTTAAAGCAGTCCTCCACCAGGTGACCAAGTATGTCCTGAATCATATTCTTCTCATGTGTTCTGGTTTTTATTGTTTATTCATGCCTTGCTGTTGCTCAACGCAGACGGCCAAGAGGAACTGGTTTTCTCAAGTTTAAAACTGCAGATGCAGCTGATGCTGCAGTTTCAACTGCTAACGCTGCTTCTGGCTTGGGTATTCTTCTCAAAGGTAGGCCATTAAAAGTTTTTAGGGCTTTAGATAAGAAGTCGGCTCGTGATAAGGAACTAAAGAAGGCCCAAGATGACAATCATGACCACCGCAATCTCTACCTGGCAAAGGTTTGTCTTCTTGATTCCCTTGCATGGCTGGTTGTGAAAGTGATATGCAACTAGGGCTAACTTTTGTCTTCTACCAAATGGTAATAGGAAGGACTCATTCTTGAAGGAACTCCAGCTGCTGAAGGGGTTTCAGCCAGTGATATGTTAAAACGCCAGGAGTGAGTGTTTAGCTGGATTGCAATGCAAATGGCAATACAATTATCTAGAAAACAAATATAATCCTTTACATGCTATTCGTAATCGTTCTTTTATGCCTTTGATCTTCCTTCTGATGGCCACTCTAAAGACGCCGTCAGGAGCATCAGTTAATTACCACAATTCCTCTGGCAGGTTCTCAGTGCTCTTAACATTAATTTTTGAAACCTGTAGGTTGGAAAGAAAAAAGGCAACAAAGCTACAATCGCCAAATTTCCATGTTTCAAGGACTAGACTTGTTATTTACAACTTACCAAAGTCGATGACTGAAAAAGAGCTCAAGAAGCGTTGCGTTGATGCAGTTACCTCTAGAGCCACCAAGCAAAAGCCTCAAATTCGGCAGGTTGGTTAAGTAGGTCATGACTTGAAGGCATTCTGTGTTGTGTCTCTTAAATGTCAAGGATCATCATCATTTATTGTGCTACGTTCCATACGCAGATAAAGTTCTTGAAGGATGTGAAGAAAGGAAAGGTTGTTACAAAACATCATTCACGTGGAGTTGCCTTTGTTGAATTTTCAGAGCATCAACATGCCCTTGTGGCTTTACGAGTTCTGAATAATAATCCAGGTAAATTCTTTTGCTGATAGCTGTAGGGTAGGACTATATGGTGTTTTATTTCCTGTTTAATCTAATGATATCTTGGTTGACCTTTAAGAAACTTTTGGTCCTGAACATCGGCCAATTGTGGAGTTTGCTGTTGATAATGTTCAAACAATTAAACTTCGGAAAGCAAAGCTACAGTTTCAGCAGCAGGCTGCTGCTCACGGTGACAGCAACGTTGAGGAAAATGAGGAACCCGACGTTTCAGGTTTCCATACCAATCGAAAGGATAGAAAACGAAAATCACAGGATCATGACAAACCGGTGAAGGATTCAGTGCTCGATAAAGAAGGTGAACCAGCAAGTATATTGCCAAATCAAAGTGCCACGGGTGCACGCAATGCCAAAAGACAGAAAGGCAACCGTAAAAGTAAAAAGGCAGAAGGGTCATCGTCACATAAAGAAAATTCAGAAACCTTGTCCAAGAAGCCAAATGTTTACCAAGATGACCAGAATCATGGTGGCAGGACGTCAAACACTGTTACTGCCTCCTCCAAAACAATCAACGGTAAAAAGGAAGGTCATGGATTGAAGAAGAGGAGGACTCAGAATCAAGCAGAAGCTGGGGAAAATGTACCAAGAAAACGATCAAAAAAGAATAAAGAGCCTGTAGGGAAAGACGTGGTGGATAAGCTTGACATGCTTATACAGCAATACAGATCGAAGTTCTCACAGCAGGGTTCACAAGGGAATGATGGGGAGAGAAAACCTTCCAAACAGCTAAGAAAATGGTTTGAACCATAAATAATGTGGGCAGGCTACTGAACACTGGCTTCTGTACCGCTAAGAATTTTGTCGCTGCCAGGTTTTTACCACCTTTGTAGCAATGTAATTTTTGAGATGATTTTTTTTTTTTAATGTTTTAAAGAAAGCACAGTGTGGGGGTTGTTTTGCTCTTGCGCATTTTCGTTTATTTAATTTGACAGGATAAATTGAGAAAGTGGCGATCAACAGTTGTGTTATAGATCAACCTCCTCCCAGCCGGCAAGAGGAGGCTGATGGTTGATAGAGGCGACTTGGTTCATAAATCAAACAATAGTCGTTTAATTTTGCGATTTTATCTCGATGCTTACGTGTTTGCTGCTCTCATTTGTAAATCACTTTTTAAGCATTCTTGTGAAGTGTTTTTTTTTTTTTTTTAATTTGGCCTGAAGCATTCTTGTGAAGCGTTCGCCCTTTGGGAATTGCCTGAACTTGCTAGAAACTTCGACGATCCTGATTTGCGGAAAGCAGGTTGTGCCATGGGCACAACGAAATCCGCCAACGCAAGGTTGAGACGGTCGCCAATTTTCGTCCATTCTATCCATTGTACGTAAAAGCCCCCGTATTTTGAGATAATAACGGAACTACCCTCACCTTCATCTTCACCGTTCATGGATCTTCCGTGTACTGAAAGTCAAGAAACACTGTCGTTCATAACGACCTGGATGTAAAAGTTGATTGAGCTCCGCGAAGCACCAAAACTCAAAAAGGTAAGTACCAGAAAATTTTTGCTAATTATTAATTAACATTTTTAAAAGGAAAAAATTATTTTTTTTCTCTTTTTCGTCTTCCATCTCTCCATTGTAGTGACCCTCCATGGCTAAACCAAAGGCTCCCAGACGAACCCTAGAGTCATACACAGTCAAACACATAAGCAAAACCGTTAGAGGTATATACTTTCTCTTACTTTTTTGAGCTTCTTTGTTCCTGTTGCAATTTTCTTGGGAAAATTTATTTGTTTGATCGTTTTTCCCCCTCCTCCATTCCTTGCATTCACTCCTTATATGCGCTCTCTTTCCACTGTTCTCAGCTGGCGACTGCGTTCTTATGCGGCCCTCCGAGCCGTCGAAACCGTCGTATGTGGCTAGGATCGAGCGGATCGAGGCCGACTCTCGAGGCGCCAACGTTAAGGTTCACGTCCGTTGGTATTATCGGCCGGAGGAGTCTATCGGTGGCCGTCGCCAGTTCCACGGTTCTAAAGAGGTTTTCCTCTCTGATCACTTTGATGTTCAGAGCGCCGACACGATCGAAGGCAAGTGCACGGTTCACAGTTTTAAGGGCTACACGAAGCTCGATGCTGTCGGAAATGACGATTTCTTCTGCCGTTTCGAATATAATTCCGCCACCGGAGCATTCAATCCAGATAGAGTCGCCGTGTATGTTAATTCATTGCATTTTTATTGCGCTTTTTACCGGACTACGATGCTGTTATAGCTAGATAATGTCTGTATATGCTAGCTTCTGCTACGCTGAATGCGAATATTAAGTTAATGTGTTCGTGTTGTCCTTGAATTCTCTGTTCGTTGATTAGGAAGCTACTAAAATGTTGTTTGATGTTCGCTATCTATCTAGTTGAGCTGCGTTAGTTAGAGTTTCTGCATGTAGCTATCAATTGCGTTTAGTGGTGATCGAGTTCAGGACCATAAATTGGTCGCACACGGTTACTGGTGAGGTCACATGCCTGCTCAAGTCAGTAGTCATGTTTATTTCTTACTAATGATCTTGTAACTTTTATTTGCTTCTTTGATTGGGACATTGGAAGTGGCACCATCATCTTACAATCGAGGAGTTTTACAATGTGGTCTTCATGTTTTATATTCTCATTGCAGGTATTGTAAATGTGAGATGCCTTACAATCCTGATGACCTAATGGTTCAATGTGAAGGCTGTAGTGATTGGTAAGTTAGACGTGTAAAGTGATACTAGCTCTATCCCATTATTTTACTCTGTTATTGTTGTTTTTAGGTTCCATGTTTATGTTGGTTTGATTATTATGGCTTAGTTCTGAAGATCTTTTCATCTTCGGGATAGATTTTAATAAATCATCAGCCTTCAATTTATTTCTTATCTTCTAGGTGCATATGAGGGGAACAGGTTATTTTAGTAAGCTTTAAGTACAGACCTTTTTTTTTTTGTGGTTTAAGAATTTTCCGTTCTTAAAACATTAGACCATCCATTCAACTACCGTTTGAGTGCTCTGTGTAGCATTGTGAATTCTAGGATTTTTTAAGCAGCTGGTATGTCATGGTCATACGTCAATAATGTATTGTTGTTCTGGCTCATTTCCTTCTCACATTTTCTGCGGACCTTGACTCATTCTCTTCTAACCTACCTCTTTTCCTTTTTCATGCTGGTGCATTTGTGTGCGTGTACTTCTATATGTGCATCGGTGTTTGCATGCATTTGAATGTCATGCTGATTTGGATTATTAGCATGTCAAATGTAATTTTATGAACCAAGTTTCTTATGATTGTGTATACTAGGGTTTATACAGGACCATGGAACTAAAGTTTACCTGAAACCTAAAGAAACCAATATTTTTAAGACTTTCATGTTGTTTGGTTTTTGGTGCTGTCGTGTGCATCAGTATGGGAACTGGAAACTTACATGTTTGTGGTGTCAAGCTAAGCAGTAATGAAGTCTAGTCTTCTGATTCAGTGAGTCAATTGGGAAATCTTCAAATCAGTGTCTAGATTATTCAATAGAGGATATATATTTGGTGCAATGAATATGCTGAAGTGAAATATAAATGGTGTAGATCTGCACATCGAGTAAATGAACCCCCCCCCCCGCCCAACGTAGGCTATTCTCATTTTATGCATTTATTGTATTTCTTTGGCATGGCATCTCTTTTCCTGATCTGGTATTTTTCTCTCTCTCTTCTTTTTTTTTAAAATTTAATTCTTTCCTTATTTTGGTTATTCAAAACGTATGTTTTGCAATTACTTAAAAACAAAGTTAATGCAATTCTTTAGAAAATTTAATGGATTCTTTATGTGAATGGACTGAGAAGATTGATCTTGGGATTGATTGTGTTTGTTAGTCTGAATGTGTGGAGTTTGCCATGTTCGCATACTTTTTTAGATGTTTTGAATGCAAAACATAGCTAGGCTAGTATGGTGTGGGATATTAGACTTGGTTTAAATGCTGTCTTCAGCAAAATATTTTTGATCCAGGTTTCATCCTGCTTGTATAGACATGACTGTGGAGGAAGCCAAACGACTTGACCACTTCTTCTGTGAAAGTTGTTCTGCGGAAGATCAAAATAAGTTGCCAAATCCTCATGCTGCGAGACACTCAGATACAAAGGTATTCTTATTCTTAGGTGGTATCATTAGGTAATTGATAGTCTCTGTCGAGCTCTTAATCTTAATTGACTTCCACATGCATGGAAAAGCAAATAAATGACATCTTCATCTGTTGTCAATCTGTTTATCTATTTATATTCCCCCTGCTTCTTCATTGCTCTTGGTATGCTAGGCTGATAATTAATATTTCTCAAGTTTGAAATCCTTCGTCTCATTTTGACATCTCAAAATGCACCTCTTTGCTTTTGTATTTTTACAAATTATTAATAGCCTATATGATGCTTGTAAATTTTCTGCTGGTGAATAGTGGCAAACCAGCATGATAGGAACGTCCGAACCTGTTCAACGAATTCTCAGAGGAAACTCGGGTCTTATTACGGACAGTAGGGATAGGAAACACTGGTTTACTAAGGTTCATGTTTTTTTCTGGACGGGCAGGTGGATACAAAACGCCGTCGACGGTGATAGTACATAAGGAGGATAGAATGAGATAGTTCAACGATGGGGGACTGGGAACCTTGCGTTTCTGATCCTGGGTAGGCACCACCAAACAAACACGGAGGCAATGTTTTCTGCAGTAAGCTGTAACCTTTCTACTTTGACAGAGAGACCCGTTTGGAAATATGTTTGTCGTGTCTATTTGGTTTGAAGACTTGTCCTGTTTACTTTGAAAGTCGAGGATGTGTTTGCTTGTTTGTAATTATCTACTGTAGATTCCTTCTCCTCTCTTCCCGTCCTTGTTCATACTAGGACTTCTGTAAAGTTTATTGACCTATTTATGAGCAGCGCAGGACCTTTTTTTTTCTTTTTATTTAAATTAAAGCTTTGTACAAGAGATTGTGGAGCTGACTTTATTTTTTTGGGAAATTTACAATGCAAAATCATGATTGAAGATTTTAAAATTAAATTTTTAATTCGAAGCTTTTGATTTGAAATTTTCAGAATACTGTTAGAATTTGAAGTATTCGTTGTGGAATTTTTCTGAAGGAGAACCAGAATTTTAAATTGTTATTTTTCATTAATTCTTTGCGGAAATTTTAGATCACACTATGGGGTTTCTATCTTCGCTTTATGCAAATGATTCAGATATGAAATCCGAAAGTACTTATATAACATTGAAAGAAAAATGCAGCGGTGAGTTTTAGTTCACGCCAAAAGGGTGCTATTAGCTTGGTGTTTCCATTTTCGCTCTATGCAGAGAATTCAGATATGAACTTCGAAACTACTTCTAATGACATTTGAAAAATGCTTGGCAAAAATAAAAATGCAGCGGTGAGTTTATTATTATTACCCAAGTTGTTGTTTACCTCCCAATACTGTCAATGTTGAATCATTGTCATTTTGTGTTTGCTCAAAATAATTTTGAAAAAATTGCACCAAAAATATCTCTAGTCCTAATGACAAGTGAAGAATTTTCATTTTCTATTTTAAAATTTATCATTAGAAGCTGTTCCTTATTATTGAAACTTAATAGTAATATGCTCTTAATTCTCCCCTCCTTTTTTCAAGTGGGGCGTTTCGACCCAAACAAAATTGACAGAAGCATCCTAGTTACAAAGATGCGCCTCCTAGGGATGGTTTTGAAACCATGCTCACCAAGTGTGGATACGCATCCCCGGTCATATTTTGCTATAGAACATTTTCCACCTGTTTTCCGTAGCGAGGAAAGAAGACAAAAGACAATGCTGTAAACCCAAGAATCTCAAACAAAAGAATACAGAAGGCTAGAAAAGATGAGGTGAAACGGGAAAAAATGGGGATGTTAACAAAACTATTTTCGCAAATATTAAGCTATTTTAAAGTACTGTTGTTATTGATTATGGTCTAGATCTGTCCTTGCCCTCTTCCATACGATAACTGTGCCATAAAAATCAGATGAAGCCAGCAAGTTTTCTCCATAGTTCCAGGCAATACCAATGACAGGAAAGCGATGACCCTGCACAAGGCGAATTTTTGTCATTTTGAGAACAATTATACCATCAACAACTTAAATGATCTAATAAGATGAACCTGTAGCTTGTTTACGCATGTATGCCTCGGTCGTGTTAAATCATAGAAATAGACATTTGAGTCCTCACTCCCAGCAACTTCTCATGGCAAAAAAGGATGATGTCAGAAATATAGCCATTTTGACAAATCCATAGAAATATCAACACAATGACAACTAGAAATACTTGCCATTGCCAAAAGAAACAAAATCCATGGGCTGTTTAGCTCAACACTTAGCTGAATATCTAGTTATTGATTTGAAGGCAGTATTGTTTCTCTTTATTTGATAATGCAGAATAACAGTCAACAGAAACGAAAAAAGGTTCTACGCCACTAGCGTGACAGATTAAAAAAATTGTAATAACTAAGGCACAATATACGCATAATTTTACAAAAAGCAGCTTCACCAGAAATCATTCAAGAAGATGAAGAGAAAGAAGTGAAAAAATAAAGCAAATTCATACAGACGTACCAATGAATTCTCCTTTCTCAAGAGAAAGAAGAGGACAAAATGAAGCTTGAATGTTGTGGATACGTGGAGCTAATTTCAGCGAGCAGCGAAGAGTTAAATAACCTTTTACCTCCAAAGCCACGCTATAACATGTAAACTTCTAGTAAGTGCTTCAAAACAAAAAACAACGAAGTCAACCCAATGAATTTAGTGGCTAAGGGCAAAGTATGGTTAAACCTGAAGAAAGACAGATTTCCGTCCTGAGCACATGCAAGCAACACTGGTCCTCCAGCCAGAAGAGAGAAACTTCTATACTGCACGGTCGTGACGGGCGATTTGTGCCAAGTGCCACTCCGATGACGATGAGATCGGGATAAGACCCCAGTGTGGGAGTTCATAGTTACTGAGTATACGCAGCCCTGAATCCACAGGCCAGTAGATGAAAAAAAAATAGAGATTAAACCGACTAGTAGGAATATAAACTTGCATGTATATAGCTGCTCACCTGTCCATCCCCACAAAATATCAGATTTCCTGTATGATCATGGTCCATGGAGGTAACTTCACTGTCAAATACTGTTTTATTAATTATCCTTCCCGTACTGAAATTGAACACCTGGCAAATAAATATTTGAAGAAAAATGAATTAGTACAATATTAACACGTGGCACATAAATTAATTTTAAGAAAAATGAATTAGTATAATACTTCATCAAACTGGTAAGATCACTAAAAATGGGAAAACTTGGTAGCTTTTTTTTTTTTGGGGGGGGGGGTTGTTGGTTGCACGTAGGGAGGGAGAGCGGGAGAGTTGTATGTGCAATAGTAAACAATAATATTCATAGGGTAGGGTAAGATGATGGGAGCAATGCAGTACATGATCCAGTCAACTGTCATTGTATTACTCATATTCCAGTGGCCAAAGCAACATTATCTTCCTCGCCACCTCTTTAAGTGTGTCATTGTAATTATACCCCACAGTTGACTCAATCACAAGGTTATAGAAATACATAGAATCAGGATTGTGTTCAAAAAATATAAAAAGAAGCCAAGGCACCAGTGTATTTTTTCAGCAAATTGTCTCCAAATAACATTTCAAGGAAAGCGTATGCATGAGAGTAGATTAAAACATAGCATAGTTCCTGTTTTCAGTAAAGACCAATCTTTGTACTTAACCAAGCACAACAATCATTTGCTCTGCATTTTATGAATATATAGCAAATCCTACTGTGCCATGATTCAATGACATCAGATCTTACAGATAAAAGATGGAAATGACAAAGATCAACATGATTCAGTAAAAGAATTGTAGTAAAGGTACTGTAAGATATATTACTGTACTTCTTCAACAGCAGGAAAAAGTGAAAAGTGATTACATTGATTTCTTTGTTTGCATTGCCAACTGAAAGAAAGTTGTTATTTACCTGCACCACATAAAAAACTCAGCCTCAAGTAGCAACCATAGATAAAAGAAAAGAAAAAAAGTATTGCAAAAGATATGTAAGTGCATGCTAAACCATCAAAATAGTCCCACTGCATTTTGAGGCAGTCAACACTTCTTTAACAGGGACCATAATGCAGACGTTTAGGTAGTCAATACTTCCTCCAAACAATATCCCAGTAAACATATTCGTCCCTTGTCAAACTATTAGATGAGAGATTTAAAATCACCAATAAAAGATATCCTTGTCCACAGTAAGGCTTAGGCTTTCCACTTTTTTCAAGTTCATTTGGAATGGAGAATGATTTGAGGACACAATACCATAATATCTAGCATCCTCAAGTTCTTTTCCAAACTAAGGAGAGAGAGAATTTTGCTCCACCATAAAAAAGTGACCACACTGTCCTCTCCATAGAGCTTAGAAGAATAGCATTCCCTTACACACACATATATGCACACACATGTAAGTTGCACTTACAGGATGAAAACGAATACACAATTGAGAAGAAACTCCATATATCACCCGTATGCAAATTCCTTTAGCTATCTCCCATACTCTTACAGTTTTATCCAATGAAGATGATGCAATATACTGATTGTTTGATGAAAAATCAAAATCTGAAAATAAGCCAGCATTAGAAGAGAGCATTGGTAAAATATTTTTATGATAAAAGTTAACATCAGAAGCAGAATATCAAAATTGGGCAATCTAATACTCTAAAGGCTTTAGCATACTGTGGATTGCGTAACACAAAACAATGTGACGATACAATATGCTTAATACTGGTAGCCTACTGTAGCCACACTGTAATGTTATTAACTCATACATTCCTAAAATTCTGATTGGCAGGCATGTAACTTTCTTTTTTCAAGGATGGTAACTCTTCAGTAATATGAAAAACAGAAAGAATGGATGAGACCTAGCAAACAATATACTGCAGATTAACTCTAGTAATGTGTCCTGATAAAAATTAATGCATTGGGTGATAATGTCATATATCTTGTGTAGGATATAAGCAAAGACCACAGAATCAATACCAGTCTATCCAACCTGTAACATCTTTGGAATGACCATGTAATTGTTTGAGGATTGAGGGTTCCTCAGAGACAGTGCATACGGTCAAGGTACCATCTGATGCCCCATAAGCAAGAAGATCAGATCTCATGTGCCCAAACTTCAAAACGGTAACTACACATTTAATATTGAATGATTACTTTCAAGGAAAAAAAGACTTCTGGATCAGTAACAGTTACATGGGAGTGGAAAGTCTGTAGTACCAGAGGCTTTGCTTTGATCAAAGACGCAATGCATTCCTACAAAAGAATAGGCAGGCTCAACACCTCTCTGACGTGGACGATCATTATCACCTAAACTTGAGCCAAAACTTGTTCTGTGACTAGATAGTGGATTGGCACTTTGTAGATCCTACAATGGAAGAAAATACACTGAATTGACACATGGCGCAGGGAAAGAATAAATAATCAAGCAAATTAAGCCAGCATTCACTGCATATGAGCAAAGTTGTAAGAGCACCTATTTAAGAAATTCAACCAGGCTCCATTTTTACCGCATTCCTTAAAAGCAAAAACACAAAATCTCCAATAATAAACAATTTTCGTGTAAAACATTGTTATTATACCATTACACCCTTGTTTTATGCGCAATTTTGAAAACAGAAAGTTCACATGAATTTACCAAGATCTAGGAAGCTGACGTCTTTAAGATAAAAAATACTTCAACTTTTGCACTTCTATTTTCAGCAAAGGGCATGTTTGCAAAACAGAGTCATACGTTTTATATCATATAAGGTTACATGTAAGTTACATTTGGTTTATAGGCTTAGCTGATGATAGAATAGTCATCTTCAACTCTGCGTTTTGTCTCACGATCTTCTGATTTTTGGTTTTTTGGTTTCAACACTCTTTTGTGAAATAACTCAGTTGCTATTTATTGCTTGATTTAATATACTAACAACCTTAATTTCTTTTTTTTTTTTTTTGTGGGATATAAAAAAATGACCATTCACTCAAATCTTAATTTCTTGAACAAATAATACACCCTACTCTACAATTTCCGTTCTAATGAATCCAGTCTTTATTTTTCTGTTTTCCTATAATATCTAATTTATTAACATAATGCTAGGTTTGATACTTCTCCAATTCTCTCATTCTTGATAGAACAAATACCCAAACTAGCCAAGGGAGCCTAATGTGTTGCATGCCTCGTGGCCCAGCCAAAGTGTGGGCTGCACATCATTAAAGACAGCATGCTCAAACCAGGCCAACAACATATGGCCTTGCAACTACATTATTCATGAGTGTGTTTTGAATGATTATGATCTCCTACTGAGATATGAATGTAACACTCCGATAACAACACAAGGGCTCTATTTTAAATTTAATTGAATCAATGAATCTGTTCAGAATTTTATCAGACACAGCATGCCGCAATATGGCATTGAGATGGCCTGCGCAAGTCTCATTCCCCATCAAGTGTAGAGAAATGCGCAAACAAAAAGGTAGGGAAACATTTCTCAGTTTCCCCCTAAGAAATGATTTATGCATGGCAATATGTATCATAGTGCAAAAGGCACAATAATCTAGGAAGAAAATTGACATGAAACCACACATACCCGAACAGAACTCAAGCTGTCCACCTCAGACCAACGGGAGTGTGGACTAGGAGGTAGAATCCAGCGGCCACTGATGCATCAACCAGTAAATTATCCTGACGTCAGAATTATATGGAAAAATAAATTTAAACTAGCACACACAAATGAGAAAGCTGCATCATCATAAAATTCAGACAAGTTTTGACCAAAGTTGTTGCTAGAACTAAAACAAACAGAAAGATATAGATGACAAGAAATACGGGAAAGGATGAATACCAGAAGATGGTGACAAGGGAAAAAAGTTATGGGAAAGAATATTTTCTTACATAAGATGTCTTTTATTAGAAGGAAGCAAAGTTAAATGTTGAAGGGTAACGTATTTTCCGCAAATAGTCTAAAGTAAAAGAGAAGGGAAACAAAGCAAAGGATGCGTCAACTCAAAAGAGATCCCTAGTTTCTTTGCAAGTGGAAAAAAAAAAAAAACAAAGAAAATCAATTTTGTTTATCATCTTGCAATAAATGCACAAATTGAACATATTAAATGCTCAGTAAGTTCAGCAACCTGTTTCCAGGAGTGGCTTGGAGGCTAGGGGCTTGTGAACTTTCCCAATCCCTTGGCCTAGATATGTAATTACGGTAGGCCACATAACCTTTCTGGTTGCTTCTCCAGTCCTTCAACAGAAATACGTGAATAAGTTTACGCATAAAGCTCAGCAGATTAGTGAAAAGAAAAAAGAAAATGAAAATGAACCATGTCGCCCCGAAGAAGGCCAAATAGAAGATGTAGATCTTGCTTTAGCAGTTAACAGAGTAAATTTCGTATCATCAATAATTTCAAAACAATGCCAAGCAGAAAATATATACATTAAAAGCAGGAACAGGGAAAACTACGATCGATTCAAAAAAAAAAGAAGAATAAATAAACAAGCTATGATCCCTAATGAGCTAAATTTTGAAATGCTAATACATTTAGTTAATTAGGAGAATGTCGAGATTTCTACTGCTACTAGCTAGTAGCGCTCTCCTGAATCTTAGTATTCCAATTTTGATTCATTCAATAGATCCACATACCAACAAATGCGGATCCAAAACATAGATACTAGTAAACAAAATACAATTCTGAAACTATCCAAGCTCGAAAACAGTGAAGGTCGAAACATACTATACGGCGGACAACGCCGGCCACAGCCTTCCGGTGAAGAAGAAGGCGCCGAATGCCGATGTACTGAGCATCAGCGTCAGAGGTCACGGGCTGAAAAACGCAGCAGAATAGCTCTGGATCTGTATAAATCTTCTTCTTCTTCTCATCTTCACCGCTCTGTTGCGCCATTCTATGAAGTCTTCATCGGAGGACGCTGGCCAAGCCTAGAACCTCCCTCCAAGTGATCGATGGAGAAATCGAAGCACCAAAAAAAAAAAAAAAACGACAAGGAAATTAGATTGAAAGAGAAAATGGAAATGCGGATTCTGTTCGTATAATCGTATTTAATCACAAAGCTGGAGAATGACTAATAACTACGTCATTTCACTTGGGGGCAGGGCATGGCCAATCCCGACGGGTAATGTTACGACTTACGATTGACATTTCATTTTGGGTCAGCCAGTTGACATTTTGATATCCCGCCGCGTTTCCAAGTGAGGTTCTGCTTTTGGGCCACTATTTTGGGCTAAGTATTGCATTTGGGATTAGCCCCAACTATTTTCAAACGAAAATGATAAATCTACCAACGGGGTTGGTCTAAGTGGTAAGTGGTTTGGTACCGCTTAAGCGAAGTCTTGAGTTCGAACCTCAGTGTATACAGAAATCTCCGTTGGGAGACTCACCCACCACAGCCAGGTGCGCGACGCGGGTCGAATCCAGATATAGTCGGAGCAAAGCTCCGGTGAATTGGGTGGGCAACCAAAAAAAAGAAAAGAAAATGATAAATCTGATGTTCTGGAAATTTATCATTTATATATGTTCATAGTACTATTAAAAACTCTAGCAAGCCTCGTTATTTATACTACCTCCGGTCCTTAATAGCTATTTACAGAGTTTTATGGTTTTTTTGTCATAAACTAACAATTTAAATTAAATATCTTACAATTATTGTTATTTTTTAAAACTTACCATGGGTTGGATAGAAAGAACCTAATTTCTTCAAATAAGGTACAAAATTTGAACATTATGAATTAGAACACATTAAAAAATTTAGCCCAACTAAACCTAACCCACATCGAATGCTTAATTATATTGAGAAGAAGGCAAAATTGTTTCTGATCTCAACAAGTTTATCTCAAATACTACTATTTTTTTTTGCCAAAAAAAAATACTACTATTTTTTATATAAAACGAGTTTATTCAAGCATACAATGACCATTGTTGTGATCTTTCCGTTTCAAAGCCGCTAATGTTTTTTGTGCAAAAAAACAACCGCTGATGTTTTTTGTAAAAAAAAAACAAAACCATTAATGTTTTAAGGTTAATACATGTAGATTAAGAAATTTTGAACTACTTACTCTCACTTAATTTTCTTTTATTTCATTTAATATATCTTCTCTCACATTCTCATCGGAGGATATGATTTTCAAATGGAGGGAGTAAATTATAAAAACCCGTAGATTATTTTTCCTCCATGTTTCTTTACTTCGTGACGAAATGGTTTTGAAAGAAGAGTTGATTCACAGAAAAGCCAAAAAAAAAAAAAATTTATGGGAAAAATAGCATCAAAAAGCTATAGAGATATCTCCTTCTCCAGGGCGGCAAAAGCAAGAGTATGACTGCTTGAGATTTAATTTTGGCCAGTCCTTGACAATAGAAGCAAGCCACACGTATTCATTCTCATGTGAGAAAAATGCAAAGTAGAATAAATGGGGTGCTGAAAGCTGAGATTGGCATGGCCACATATTTCAATCTAACTGACCAGGATTATCATTGCCATTATTGCAGTGGTAAAAGACACAGTGAACGGAGATATATATATATATATATATATATATATATATTAATTCGGGGGGTGGCTTGTGGAGTCATCAACTGGGTGCCAAAATCTGTTAAGAAACCACATGGAATCAGCCTCCACAGAATACCCATCTTGGTTCCGGTGCCAGCTGTAGTGAGCATGAGTTCGGTTCTTGATGTCAAAAATGGCGTGCCCAAAACTGGCCTCTCTATATGCAGAGTATTCTGGTTGTGGTTCTGTCATGCTGCACAACGAATTGCCATTATGAAATGAATCAGCCTAATATCACATAGAGGAAAGAAATCCACAGTGGATAGCTTACTTGGTTGCCAAGCCTTCAAGGTTTCCTCCATCACCAATGGTTATATACACAGGAGCCGACTGATCCTTTACAGGAGTGCACTGACCATTTACAACGTTGTATGCCACATTCGAAACGCGTTCCTGATACAGACAATAATCAATGATCAACAGATGCAAAAAAAAAAAAAAAAAAAAAAAAAAACAGAGGTTTTTGTAAGGGCATTGCTCATTGCTTGTTTGATGATGATGGGAAGGTTTTTTTTTTTTTTTGGTATTTGGACCAGTTTGCACGCACTCCAACTGATACATCGAGATCATCTATGCCCTGACTAAGGAATTCAAAAGGAAATTCCTTTCAGCCTGGTCCCAGGAAACTGTCAATATAAAGATTCAACTTGTGGGAGGATGCCGAACAACAACACATGAAATGCTCGCCTGTAAAATTTAGACCAACTCCTTGTTGGGACCGGAAAAGGTTTGAAGGCAAGCGTAGTGAATCATCATCTTAATACTTTTCCTCAGAAGCATGTTGCGGAGATTTCAAGAGAGAAAATAAAGGAATAAGTAGCTTGAGAGTAACACTACACCAATTACACCTGAATCAAGACTATATACAGGAAAATGGAAACAGCTTGATAGAGGGCTAGCTCTTACTGATCTCTCATAGGCATGGACATGACCAGCAAACACAACATCAACCTTGTACTTCACGAACCAGGGCTCATACATCACTCTCATGCTTTCCCCTTCCATAAAATGATAATTGTAGCTGTTATACCAAGGAGAATGCAAGAGAACAATCAACCAAGGAGTCTCTGTCCTGTTAACTTTTGGTAGCTCTGCCTCAAGCCATTGGTACTGGGGAGTGTATTTTCCTGAAAAAGTAAAGAACATTATACTGATAATAGAATCCACTTTAAAAGCACGGGCATTACATTCCCATGTAAACACTTGATCCAAGCATTGACAACAAAGAAAAAGTGGGGAATAAGAAAAAACAGTATAACTTGACATGGATTATAGGCACCATTGTGCATTATGAAAGTCATAGCATCAGTCAGCAAGTCTTCGCATAATCATTGGGTATTACGCCATATAGAATTACCGTATGCTGAGTATGAGGCCAAGACAATGATATACGCCGAAGCTCTCTTGATAGAATACCAGAAGGGTTTAGTACTCTTTGATGCTCTGTAAGGAACATGGTAACGGTGGGTATAAGGCTTGAATGGTATGTTTTCTCCCTGCAATAAATCAACAACACGGGTTCTTTTTTATTTTTGATGAACAATAGCGTTGAAGAAGTAATAATGAAAAAAAAAAAGAGAGATTTTCTCTAGTGAGTTCATATGAGAAGCTCACAATCTCTGGAGCAAAGTCAATTTCATGGTTCCCTGCTGTCCATATCCAAGGTTGATAAGCAGTACTTCTTTCTGTGAACCTTCCCCATGTATCCCACCTAACGTTATCGTGATTTGGGTAGTTATCAGCATAAGAGAGGTCTCCCACAAACAGCACAGTTTGTCCTTTTCTAGGGTTCTTTTCATAGTGCGTAAGCGTCTTATTTGAATCAAAACTCTGACCAAGATCCCCTGCAACCAATTTTCCATTAGTTAATCACAAACAACTACGGACACACTTCATATTGTTCCAGAAGTTGGCGCGTTCAAAGAGTGTCACCAGCCACAAAAGTCCAAACCACGAGTTTAAGGAGATCTAAATCTTGACGAAACTGTAGAAACTTGTTTTGTTGGTCATTCCTACAACACTGGGATCATTTCCTTTGGTACTTGATGCAATAAAATCTTATACCCAAAACTTTCTGCTAATTACTCGTTCCGTCTCCACTAGACCACCCATTACAAAATGCATGTGAAAGATCAAACAGAGCTACTCTTTGAGACAAGAGATATATGTTCAAATGCTTGCAACATAGTATTAACCTGTGATCCATGAACTACAGAGTAATACCGGATATGCTTATATAACACACTTACCTATTAGACCAAATGTGTATGGCACATCCGGGCCAACTTCAGGAGGAGTTATAAACCAGAACTGCCTCTTTGTGAACCCAATTCCAACCTCATAGTAATATTTGGTGTTGAACTGCCCAAGAAGTACATTGATTCGTTAAAAGAAACATCTATATCTTCTCACATGGAAGCTTCAAGCTTCGCATAATCGAATTGGAGTTATGGTGCTGAGCAATTAGAGTCTTACCTCCAAATCTCTGACCGTACAGTGATGGATAAAACCAGACGTGTAATTGAAGTATCTATATGTGGTATGTTTGCCCTTAGCCACCTTCTTTTCCTTGCTCTTCTCACTCCAGTAACGCACTACACTTGACCCTGGTTCATCCTCTGTCACCCAGGATACAATCACTGCCTCTCCCACAAGATCACCTTGTGTTATATGAACCTAAAATCCAGATCAACCACACATTAAAATCCACATCAAGCGAAAAATTGAGATTGAAACAGAGAGAAAACCAAACAGGAAAATGGCAGAAAAGAAGGCTTTGCTTCATCTTTTCTTAGACAATCAGAAAAGAAAAACTACTTGGCTAACGTTAAAAGGGACACCGAGTTACCTGTTGGGGAGCATTATAACCTGAAGGTACTTTGAAAACATCGCTGTCCAGCGGCATGTCAACAGTCTTCTCAGCTTTCCTGACGAAGGTGCTAGTCTTGCCGCCATTGCACATCTCAGGCATATTCAGAAACAAACCAAACAGCAGAGCTACTGCAGCAAAACATCGAAAACCTAGAAGACGCATCTTATCGAATTCTAAACCTCTACGAATCGAGGTACCTACCACTACCATCAATCAATCTCGACGCCTTCCTCTTTCACGGGTCTCTTCTATATATATAATAGCAGACTAATAGAATGCAATTTACAATGGCAATGGCATAATCAGGGGAATATTCAGGGTTCTCTATGAATTCAGGTCAATGAATGCCTAAGGATATGGGAGTCCTCTGGGATTATCTATAAACAACTTCTATTTTTCTGCCGTGTGAAATCAGAAGCGTCCCATGGAATCACGGACACTGAAGATTCGGGCTATTGTTTGTATATGACATGAGGCCAACACGGGGAATACAATAATAAAGAAATATGAGGGCGAGAGAGCCTGAGAGAGGAAGTTGACTTTGGAGTCCTGCGTCTCCCGCGAAGACTTGTA